CACACACACACACACACACATATATATGTATAGTGACTGGTAGAAAAATCACTTACTGGTCCATAAAGAGTGGTACAGAGCTAGGTGTGGTAGTGCATCTCTGTAATCCCAGCTGCTTGGGAGGCTTAAGAAGGAGAATCAGCAAGTTCGAGCACAGCTTAGACAATTTATTGAAGATCTTGTCTCAAAATTTTTAAAAGTGGAAGATGTGTAGTTCAGTGGTAGATCATTTGCCTCACACATGTGAGGCCCTTATTTTAATCCCTGGTACTGGGGAGGAGGGGAAAAGAGAACGTACAAGGTACTGTATTTAAAAAGCTTGTCATAAGAAAACAGGCTAGATAAGCAGAGAACTACTTTAAAAACCTCATGTGAAGAGTGCTGTGTGCAAAATTAATATTCTTTGGGTGTCTTTTCCCTGTAAAGGTCCTTCAATAATACAGAAATAAGCAGTTCTCTGTGCCATTTCTGGTCCTCTTCTTCTGGCTTTGCCCTCCAGAACTGGACTAGAGATTTATGGAAGGAATTGATATACTGTAGAAAACATAAAAGTAATTTAGTTCTGAATGTGGTGGCACATAGCTAAAATCTCAGTATTCTTAAGAGGCTGAGGCAGGCAGATCACATGTTTAAGCCTAGCCTAGCCAACATAATTAATCAGTGAGACCTTTTCTCAGAATAAGAAAAGGACAAAGGATTTCCCCCCTTCTTGAAAGAAATGTTTGGAGTTGACTACATCAGTAAGATGGCTAATTAGGTTAATTAATTGAAGAGAGGATGGGAAGTGCTCCCAGAAGCTTTACTTTTTACCCCACATCTGCACACATGAGCACACACATACACATGAACACTGGCTTCCCATTCACTTCTTTAAGGCATCAGAGTCTTGCCTGGAATGGATCTGGCTTCACCCCATTGAGATATCAACTTTAGATTCAGCACATTGTGCTGGCCTAGGGGTAGTACAGGGTAAGGTAAGTTGGTGGGTAGTGTGCCTAAATGTTAAAGCAGAGGCTCTGCAGAATCAGGTCACATGATCTGTAGCTCTGGAAGCTCTTGATAGACTTGCTCTTGGGCTTGCAGACTGGGGGAGGCATGACCTGCATATCCTGTTCCTCTTCATCCTTGGAGAACGGAACCCCCCTCTTCCCAGCTTTAATCAGAAGCTGTTGATTACTGTAGAGTAGGGCAGACCTTGAATGGGTGGTAGGAAATCAGGCCAATCAGTCAGCAGTAGAAGCAGCGATACAAGCTAAGCTGGTCTTGTCGCCTCCTGAGCCCTCTTGGCATTATTTTAAACTGCCTCTCTGGAAAATCTGTCTTACAGAAAGGAAGAGGTTTTATCAGAATGTCAGCATCACACAGGGTGAAGGTGAGTCTCTGAAATTTTGACTGCTTTCTTTTCTCTCTCTTTTTTTTTTTTTTTGAATGGTTGGAAACATTTTTCATGTCCAGCCAGTTCAGTGGTGGGATTATCCTTTGCACTTTTGTCAGATGTTTCTATAAGGTACTTGGTTGTCTTTGTTTGCACCAATTCAAGTGGCTAAATATAGGAATGGTCACTCGATTCTGCTTCACAATCCCTGAAAGTTTTTCATTTGATCTTTCAAGGTGGCTTTGAGATAAACCTGGACCACAGAAAGCTGAAAACTCCCCAAGCCAAGCTCTTTACTGTCCCCACCGAGGCCCTGGCCATTGCAGTGGCCACTGAATGGGACTCCCAGCATGATACCATCAAGTTCTACACCATGCACTTGGTAAACAAATTCACAGTGCAGACTTATACTCTGATACCTGCCAGGGCTTCCTAGGCTACCTGGCAAAAATTTTGACTCCTCCAAATTGTGACAGGCCCAGGGGTGGGGATGGAGGTAGGTGGGTTCCTATAAAAACTAGTTCTTAGTCATTGAATGAGCCAAACCCCTTTTGTGTCTGGCCTGGTCACCAATGGTTCCCTCTCCTTGGCCTGGCCAGGTAGCTCAGCAGATTAAAGCACCTGCTTAGGCAGATGCAGGGGCCAGGGGTTTGATCCCTGGCCTGCCATGCCAATCCTGCCCCCAGGGCGCACTGAGACTGGGCCTGGTGGCATGCACCTCTAATCGCAGCACTTGGGAGGCTGAAAAACAGGATTACTACAAGTCTGATCTGTGTAGTGAGACCCTGTAGACCCTGCACTAAATATGTTTAAAAAAAAAAAAAAAAACCCTCTGCTTGTGCTAGGTGACTAGTTCCTGGTCTCAGGATAGGTGTCATCTTTCTGACTGCACAGCGCTTATTTTCAGTTACAGCAGCTGGTCATTTGTTTCATTTAACTTAGACAATTTGTAATGGCCTGTTTTATGTTTGCACATTTATTGTTAGTCTCTTCTAGGTTGCCTGGTGAGCAATAGTAGGGCAGGAGCCATGTCTGTTTTACTCATTCTCCCCAGCAGAGAGTTTAGATGGTGCTCAGTAAATATTGGTTGGATGCAGAAACCAAGGAGGCAGACAGGTATGGTGAGGAAGATTCCCTGTAGAGCCAGCCCCATCCACATACAGGTGGCTCAGTGAGGCACCAGGGTATAGAGTGGAATGAAAAGGTCAGGTTCAGCCTCTACAGCAGTGGTAGCAAACCTGTGGCACATGTGCTGCAGTGGGCATGCAGAACCATCTCCATCAGCACATAAACTAAGTTGCTCTAACAGCCATGCATCAGATAACAGTTGTTTTTTCTAAACTAAGCCCTCAGTATTCAGGTTTAATTGTGGTGTTGGCATTTTATGATAAGTAGGTTTGGGGTTGCATTTTGGGGACTCAGGCTCTGCAAGGTTTGCCACCACTGTTCTACAGCCTCCATACCATACTATGACCTCGAGCAAGTTGCTATTGTTCTTAGATCCATATCCCCTATCTGTGAAACATGAATGATTAACAATTCTCACCTGATGAATTGTGGTCAGGATTAGATGCCAAAACACAGAAAGCCCTTGACATGGCACAGGATGGGTACTCAGTCAACATAGGAGCTAGTCGCTCTCATCCTGGTCATTGTTGTGCTCAGCCTTGACCCACAGACCCAAACAGCTTCCCACAGCTTCACAGCCAACTGAGGTGCTGCCTACTTCTGAACTATATGATAAAATTAGAGTGATTAGGTCTACAAACTAATAGAATAGTCAGGGAGATGGCTCAGTAGAATAAGTGCTTGCCTGGCAAGCATAAGGTCTGAGTTCAATCCCTGGTTCCATAAAAAAACCCAAAAACAAACAAACAAACAAACAAACAAACAAAAAAAAACAACTAATAGAATAACCAAAGAAATCTATTATTGACAAGGCAAATCAAGAAACATAATCTCAATCCCAGATTGGATGAATTGTTTCCTTTTTAAGCTGTTAGGGAGCCAGCTGGTAAAACTTTTTAGTCAAATTTGAGTTCCATGAGTATTGCATATTTTATTAACTATATTAGTAGCTGTTTGTTTTATTTTCTGTGGGGGTGTTGGTTTCCACGTCTCTGAAAATGGAAACAATGATGCCTGCTCCAGAGTGGTGTCATGAAGATTAAGTGAAACAACAGAATGTGGTATAAAAAGCCTAAGACTTTGGGGACATTCACTCACCCAGGACTGCTGGGAGAGTTCCTTAAGTCTCAGGAGCAGCCACAGATCCTCAAGCCTAGAGCCTAGCTCTGAAGACACCAGGCTGTTGACCAGGCTTCTGTGTGCTGTCTGGTTCCTGACTGACTGTGGATGCAGTACCCTCAAAACAGGGCTTTTGGATGAGCCCAGCAGGTGGTAACAGGGCACTTTCTGCCTTTGATTCAGACCACATTGTGCAACACATCCTTGGACAACCCAACTCAGCGCAGCAAGGATCAGGTGATTCGGGCAGCTGTGAAGTTTCTGGACACTGACACCATCTGGTAATTGACATTTAGATAGGCAAGTCCCCTTTGACAGCGTGAGTCCCACTTGCCATGTGAACCCAGGGAAAGCTCAGTGGGAGAAGAAGCAAGCCTACTCCGTGACCTCACAAGGTGGGAAAGGTAGCCCCCTTGATATTGGCACCTAGATGCTCTAGTCCCTGGGAAGAAGTCTTCTTAGGCTTCCAGGGCACCCTGTTCTCTGCAGGTGAGGGCAGGCTGCAGTGGGCTGAGGTGGAGGTGTATATGGCTCTTGCAGGTACCTGGACTGCAGGGCAAGCAGGGTCGCCTTCCCTGAGTTCTGGGATATTCTCAATTACAGATGGTGGTAGTCAGGAGCTGGCTTCTTCCCACTCTGAATTTTCTCTTTGGGTCTGTGTTTTTTGGCAGCTGCACTAGTTAGGCAGCTTTGTACCCTCTGACCGTAATTTCCGGGGTGAGTTGATACAGGAAATTGGCACAAGTGCTCTGGGAAAGGGTCCCCCGTGGTGCTGATTTTGAACTTCCTGTCAAAACCCACTCCATTTGTGCCAGGAATAACCTACTTGCAGGAAATAGAAACCCATTCAATCTAGTTCAGGCACGAAAGAGTTTCTTGAAAACTATATTTTCCAGGATGTAGTTATTACATTGCATCTGCTTTTTTTTTTTTTTTTTTTTTTTAATGTATTTGATTGTTGCAGTGTCTCACTATGCAGCTCGGACTCATTGTGATCCTTCTGCTCTCAGCCTTCCCAATGCTGGGATTATAGGCATGTGCACCACCATGCCTGGACTCTGGGGGCGGAGCTGGTGCGGCATGTGGTGTTAGGGGATCGAACCTCAGTCCCTGTGCTTGTCTGAGCTTGCCTAAGCAGGCACTTTAGTCCACTGAGCTATCTTGGCTGGCCCTGCATCTGCTTTTGAGTAGCACTATATAGTGCTACAAGTTTGGACCTGTCAAATATTTGGGGGCATTTAGGATAGTGGTTTGCTTTTTAAAAAGTTTTTGGTGTTTTGTTTTCTTGATGCAGGGTGTCATTACATAGTTTAGGCTGGCTTTAATCTCACTGTATAATCCAGGCTAGCCTCAAATTTGTAGTGATCCTCCTGCGTCAACTTGCAGCAGTCCTCTTCCCAAGTGCTGGAGTTACAGGTGTGGCCACCACTCCTGGCAAGACAGTGTTTTGAGAACCCACACTGACTTTAGGCACTCTTGGAAGGTTTGTTAAAACTCAGAGAGCCAGGCCCCATGCCCGGAGGTTTTGATTCCTGTAGGTTTGGGATATGACCCGAGAATGTGCCTTGCTAGTAAGTTTCCAGGTGAGACCCGTGCCTCAAGACCATACTTTGAGAACCAGGGGACAAGACTAGGGGTGGTGAGAAAGTTTTTGCTAGTGCCCTTTGTGTTTTTGCTTTTTTAAATCATAGAATGAAAGAATTGTACTATTTTATTAATAAAGGTGATTTTTACCATGAATTAGCTACAGGGTAGAAGAGCCAGAGACATTAGTCGAACTTCAAAAGAATGAGTGGGATCCAATCATAGAATGGGCCGAGAAGAGGTAAGATGCACTGTCCTGCAAGAAACATGGAGTGGGATGGGTATTGGTTAGTGTGCTGGGTCCGAGGGATTACACTGGACACTTACACCCCTAAGCTAGCCATGATGAGTTCAGAGCTCCCTTGGGATGTGGCTCCCTTCACACTTGAGGATAAGTTCACTTGGTAAAAATGTTCCTCAAATTTATTTCTGTCACCATGCATCTACTGCTTATGTGCACTACACTGAGTGTCCTCAAGAAGCACCTCGGCTTCAGGCCTTCTTCCCCAGTCGTCAGAGCAACAGCTAGTTTGAATTCCAGCTCTGCAGGGTCAGTTGGGAAACTGACCCTGAGTTGATCCCTCCTGAGTTGATCCCTCAGAACTTTAGTTTCCTTGTCTGTAAATAGGTCTAATCATTCTTGCCTCTCAGGGTATGGGAGTAAACAAATTGATACATATAGTATTTGGCATTCTGCACAATACACAGTAAATACTCCAATTGTGGCAATTATTTTTTATTTTCATCACAGTTACTATTAAATAAAATCACAAAAAAGCATATAAGATGCATATGCATATGGAGAGAAGTCAAAATAGCTTTCTGCAATATCCATATGGGTATGTGATTTTTACAAATTGGTGCTACCTATTTTTCCTTAGCAGGAAGGCTTGGCAGTACAAAATCACACAGATTATTGATGTGGTGACAAAATAAATTCCATTTTATTTCATTCCAAGACAAGTGTGGAAGGGCTAGCTTTCATGGCACTGCCTTTTCCACACCATTCTTGTAAGCTTACCTGGAGTGCTGGAATATCTTTTTGGTTATAGCATATATCACAAAAGTGATGTCCATCAGTGTGGTCCATTCATTTCTCTACATGTTTCCTGAGTGCTAACAGTAGGCCAGGCATCCTTTCCTCAAAGGAAAAGGCAAGAGCTAGTGCTTTCCAAGATCAGAGAAAGATATAGCTCCTACAATATTTTGTGAGAAATACAAAGATGCAATGACATTTTGGAATCTACTGAAATAAAACTAATTTACATTCCTGGAGATCTTTGCTGTGGTTGAGGATCATCAAGTTCTTGCGGCAGTTCAGATAGCCCATCCTTAACAGTTTACAGAAGAATGAAGTTATTTCCTGCATTCAATTTATACTATTAGAAATTTCACTGTGGATATTTTTAAAGCAATAGAAAAAAGATACATAAAAAAATCACAAAAATTATTTTTACCTCATTATGTATATTTCTTATGTTTTATACAGTTATTATGTTATTTTTATTTTTTGCAGCGCTAAGGAGGGAACCTGAGTATGTTAGCCAAGCAGTCTGTCATTAAGCCACGCCCCAGCCCCCTAGTTATGCTATTCTTTCACATGTATCTTTTCTCAAAACCAGTTTGTTTCCCTGATAGCAAAGACCAAATCCAATAGTAGAACTTTAATAAGTATTTGAAAAGATAGTTGAGACATACAAACATTTAAAAAATAATAATATTAAGAAGAAATCTTTTATGGACTCAAATGGGGAAAGCTTTTAAAAAAGATATAAAAAGCAGGTTGCTCATGTTTTTGATAGTTCCATGGAAATGAGCACTTCAGGCCATTTACATATAATAGAGCCCCATTCCCAGGATGCAGAAACTCAGTGAGGGCAGTTTCTTGCTTCTTTGGATTTGGTTTTTGGGAGGTTAGAAACGTAGGTCAAGAGGCCATTCTCAATGGCAGTTCCTTCCAGAGTGCCCAAGACTAGCTCCTTTGGCACATACCCTGAACGAGTACACACCCATGCTCAGCAGTGAGTGCTCTCAAGACTTGTTAAAGCCTTTTCCTTTCAGATACGGCGTAGAGATTGAGTCCTCCACCAGCATAATGGGACCTAGCATCCCTGCCAGGACTCGGGAGGTGCTCGTCAGCCACCTGGCATCTTATAATATGTGGGCTCTGCAAGGTACACTGGGCTTAGGGGGCAGGTGTGATGCAAGTTAGCCCTCCCCTGCCCAACTGCTGTGAGCATGAAAGCTGACTGGCTGTGATGGCAACCCTTTTAGTCAGCACTGCAGACAGAAAATTAGGTTTGTCCTCTTCAGTAGAAGTCTCTAGATCATGCATGGCTCATTGGCCTGACCAGCTCATCTGTGAAATAGTCAGTGGGCAGAGGTTTGAGGGTATCTTCTGATGGGTCAGGTTGAGGTCCTGTGGCTACCCAGGTCATGGGCAGGTCACTCTAAGGAAAGCCACAGTGCTCATCTAAAAGAGTAAGATCAAATCCCAGGTTGCCTAGGACTGTTTCCCCATCCTGGGGTCTTTGCCCACTCACTGTTCTGAGGGGTAAGGCACTCATGGGAAAGGTTGTAGCAGCTGCCCTACCTCAGGTCCTGACTTGGTTTGTGTCCCCACAGGGATTGAGTTTGTGGTGGCCCAGCTCAAGTCCCTGGTGTTAACCTTGGGCCTGATTGACCTGCGCCTGACAGTGGAGCAGGCTGTGCTGCTGTCACGCTTGGAGGAGGAGTACCAGGTAAGATGGTGCACCTCAGGTCCCTGCCTCACCCTTCCTGGTTCATACTAACTTGATGTGCACAGCCAACTTCTCTGCAATATTTTTATGTAAATTTGATCTTAATCATTTTTGTGTACATAAAGAAACCAAAATTAAAGATCAGTAGTATTGTCAAGGCTGGGGATGTAGGCCAGTGGTACATTGCTTGTTTATCATGCTTAAGGTCTGGGTTTCTTCTCCAGTAATGCAAAAACTTTTTTTTTTTTTAAGTTAAATTGGGGCTAGGAGTGGAGTTCTGTGGTAGAGTACTTGCTTCACATGCATGAACCCCTGGTTCTATCTAAGTATCAATTAAAAAAAAAAATTCAGAAAGGTGCTCAGGACTACTCCCTTCAATCTCTTACCTGTGCAATCTGATTAGGTGGGGGCTGTGCACATCCTCAAGGAGGAAACTGTGGCACTAGGTCAGCCCTCTGGGAAGTTCTCAAGCTGGAGTTTGAAGCCAGTTCTGGGGGAGTCTAGGCCCAAGGCTTTTGGTCCCCGTTCTGCACTTGAAGGTTTGTGAGCAGATAAAGAGGATTTGGGCCTAATAAGGTACAGAACATGCCCTGCTGAGACAGCAGAGGGCCTGCTTCTGCTCTTAAGTCAGCTACACACTTGAACTCTGACATTTCATATGGCTGGCAGAGGAGCATGGAGATGGCTGCTGTTTGTACATAAGTTTTGTTTTTTTGGGTTTTTTTGTATTTTAGGGAAGGGTCTTCAGGGTTTCACTATGCTATGGTTTGTGTGTAGTTGTCCTCCTAAAGCCTCATGCAGTCTTGGGGATGCTTCTGGAGTTTGTGATTGATTATTATGACTGTGGATGCTGCACCTGCCCTGGAGCAGGTAATTTGCATTACACCATTAAGGAGGGAAGAGAAGCTAGCTGCCTGAGCTGCTGCTACCCCTCCCTTGTGCTCTTGCTCTTTGCTGCCACCAACAAAGGTTGCCCTCTGCCTTGGAGCCAGCTGAGTATGGACTGAAACCTCCAGTAACTGTGAGCTAAACAAACCTTTCCTTCCTTCATTTTGAGTGTTAGGTATTTGTCCCAGCAACGAGAGAAGAGTAAGACACACTACTAGATTGGACTCATAGTGATCCACCTGTTTACAGCCTCCCAAGAGCTGGGATTACAGGTGTGCACCACCATGCCCAGTCTCAAATTGCCGTTTCAGCATGCCCTGAGGGTGGGACCAACAGGCCCAGGGATTGAACCCCCAGTCCCTGCGCCTGCTTGCTGGTGCTTTAATCCGCTGAGCTATTTGTCAGGCCCTGTACACAAGTTTTGATTTGGAGGGCTCAGAATTAAAATACTTGTTTGCATTTTTTAACTTGAAAATTATAGCAATCCATATAATCTTTTTGTTGTTGATGTTATTCCTCTAAACCCAGAAGTTAGTTGCTATTATTGTTATTTGGTTCCTAGTAACCTTTTTGGGATGTGTAGTCTTCTGTTCAGAAAAATGTAGGAAAAACTGTTCCTGTACAGCAGAGGAGGCCGGCCATTCTCTGGATGTCAGAATGAATTTCATGGGAAGGGGATAACTTGTGGGGCTGTCAGGGCTGGTAGAGAGCTCTGCTGGTAGGTCTGGGCTCTGCTTTTAATAGTGGGACCCAAGCCACACTATCATCCTTTGAACTCTGGCTTTGATCCTGCACAAAGTAGGGAATAACTTGGATTATGGATGGGATGGTGTAAATGGGAGGTGAAAACACCCTTCAGCTGATCTGTTGCAGTTGTGCATACTGAGACTGGGCTGCAAGATATACAGATAGTTGTGTGCCATAGTATAGTCTGAGTATGCTGGGGCAGCCAAGCCACACCTTCTGGACTCTTGCTGGGGAGGAGCCAGCAGGGTCAGGTTGGAGTTGCACTGATATCCCAGTAGCCATGCTGTGTCTAGGGGTTCCTCCTTTTTGTTTTCACAAGTCTGGAGAGAGATACCAGGAGTTCCACTAGAAGTCATATGCACCTTGCTTATTTACTTTATCCCTATGGGGAGCACTTGCAGCTCACCTGTAGATAATAGCTTACAGAGGATGGCAGTTTGAAAGTCACCCCATGCTAGGTTCTTTGTATAAAATATGAGACTAGAGAAGCCATACAATTCAGGCTTTCTCAATGAACATGAGTGGTGTTGGTCCCCAGCCTTCCCAGTAGTGGGCAGCCACTGGCCCAGTAGTGGACAGCCACTGGCCCTGGGCCTAGATACACTTCTCCTGGATCAGCCAGGCTCCAGAGGGTACAGGTGCCTGGTCTAGCAGCTGGACCTTTATGTTGTGTAGCTCACCTGAGTTGGCAAGATCCATGCTTAGTTCTTTCAGTCTAGCATTGGGAATGGAATGTGTTTCTGATCAGCAGCTAGCTTGTCTTGTCTTCTCCTCAGATCCAGAAGTGGGGCAATATCGAATGGGCCCATGACTATGAGCTACAGGAGCTACGGGCCCGCACTGCTGCTGGCACCCTCTTTGTCCACCTCTGCTCAGAGAATACCACAGTGAAGCACAAGCACCTGCAGGAGTAAGGCCTACGTTGTGCATGCCAGCTGGATGGATTCTGCACAGCCACAGCTTCCTTTCCCTGGGGCTTTACTGGTCTGTGGGGCCCCCCTGTCCTGTAGAGCTGCCGTGGCCTGCAACTGTGGGCCTCCCCTGACCTGCAGGGCTTGGCCTTGCACAGCATTTCCCTGAGGTGCCTGTGATACAGTGTGGCTGTCTAGTGGTCAGCCTGATTCCAACCCAGGTACCCCTGGCCTGGCGAGCATCAAATGAGGGGGATGAGTTGTACAAATGACTTTCCCTTGACCCTTATTTTATTAAATATTTCTCTATCCTGGAAATGTGTCAAGCCCCTTTTCCATCTGTGCCTCTGTATTTTCCCATCCTTGTTTTGTCTGGGTTTTGTCACCAAGGTTGAACAGCTTATCTCCCAGTCACATTCTGATATCTGCTGTCCATGGTACGGAATCTCATGCTGGGGAAACACTCATGTCACCAAGAGACTACTCTATTTGTATCTTCAGCCTCTGCCTGGAGGACTTTTTTCCCTGGTTTTTCATCAGACAATCTTTTGAAAGTGAGTCCTTGGTCTAAGCTGGTTGTGTCTGTTTGTTCCTGTTCTAGGAAAAAATGAATTACTTTTGAAAATAGAAAATATAAGTTGTTTCTGGTTTAAAAGCCCTGCCAGGCCTGCCAAGGTCACCTAACATGTATTGCTATAATTTGGATCTGGAATCTAAATCTTTGTTCCTCATAGTAGTGCTGTTGGGAGGTAGTGGAACCTTTAAGAGGGAAAGCAAGGGGCCAGGGAGATAGCTCAGTGGAATAAGCACTTGCCTGGCAAGGTTAAGGACCTGAGTTCAATCCCCGGTTCCGCGAAAAAAAAGAGGGAAGGCCATGTGGGAGGTTTCTAGATGTAATCTCGAAGGGGATTACAGGACTATAGCCCCTTCCTCTCGTTCTCCTTTGCTTTCTGGGCATGAGGTGAGCTGTTTTGCTTCACTACATGCTCTCATCATGATGTGTATCTCACCACAGGACCCACATCAGCAGGGACCACACCTGGTCATGGATTGAATCCTCTGAAATTGTGAACCAAAATACATTTTTTTTTTCTCTTTATAAATTAGTATTCAAGTATTGGTCTGCAGGGTCTCGCTACACAGATTGGACTCATAGTGATTCTCCTGTTTTCAGCCTCCCAAGTGCTGGGATTACCAGTGTATGCCACCACACCCAGTGTCAGTTGCTGTCTCAGTGTGACCCGGGGACAGGGTGGGCACAGCATGCCAGGGATGGAACCGTCAAGTATTTGTTATAGTGATGAAAGCTAACGCATGCACACTTTTACTCATCTTCCACACGGGAATCTTGAGACTCCTTCCAGCATGGCCCCATCCAGCATCCAGTTAGGTACTGGTGCCAGGCTCGGTGGGAGGACAATGGGGAGAGTGGTTCTTTGACAATACTAGGGATTAAACCCAGGGCCTTCACACTGAGCTATATCTGCAGCCCTTTTTAAATGTTTTGAGACTGTCTCACTAAAGTGGCCCAGTTGGGGCTCAAATTTAGTCCTCCTCAGCTTCCTGAAGTACTGGCCTTACAGTTATGTGCCAGTGCACCCAGCTATCAAAGCCTTTCTGAAGTCCACACTCTCTCTCACCTGAGTAATAAGATGGCATCACCCACTCATTGGGCACTAACACTATACCAGGTAGCTTTTCCACACTTCCCATGCCCTGTCTTCCTCTTCAGGAGTTACTCTCACACTTGGGATGCCCACTCTGCTCCTTAAATTCTGGAGCAGACTCAGGTCCCTGCAGCCAAGCTCTAAGCCAAAGGTGGCCTTGGAGGGCAGGCCTCTGCATGGTAGTGGCAGCTGCAATCTCTTCTGCTTCAGCATCCTCAGCACTGGAGGAAGGAAGGATTGGGCTCATGTTTGCAGCCTGCCCTAGGTATGGCTAAGTGAACAGCCCTGCCCACATCTGGTATTTGGCCACAGACACCTCTAGCTGACTGCCAGCCCCTTGGGAGCCACTCCTGTAGATTGGCCAGGGACCTGCTGTTTATCTTCATCCTTTCTCCTGTTTATACATGAATATAGATTCTCATTTTTTCTTTCTTTTTTTACTCTACATTTGGAACTTTCTCCAGGGTGAGTAGAAGAGTGGTGTCTAGGAAGACATGGGTTGAGGAACTGTCAGTAATTCTGTCCTGAGGCAGCCAGTGAATGTGTCCACTTCCCCAATGTTGTAGGGGCTAATGCCACATTTGGAAAGGGACCATCTGCTGACATGCACCTAATCCATATCACCGCATTCCAGGTTGTCCAGCTCGCTCTGCAGGTGGTCGATGTATTGATTGATCTCCTTCACTCGCTTACGGTTCCTCATGACCTCATCCTTGTGAATCTGGGGAGTGAAAGCAAAGCCCACAACTTTCAATCAGATTACTATCTTTTGGGGTTAATGTCTTTTACTGAGGCCAGTTTGACTGAAAAGAGATTGTTCTTTCAAATCTCCAGAGTTTTTGTGCCTTATATATTCCGGAGCCTACTCATAGTCTATGGATCTATTTTAGATTTTATCGATCTATTTCATCACCCAGGGATGAAGCATGTGGTGTGAAAGTTTCCAACTGGTATTACTGAGTCTGCACTGTGGAGTTTTACAAACTTTAACTTTCTCCATTTCTTAGTGAAAATAGTATGAATTATCTAGGAATGATTTTTCCCATTCTTTTGTCTGATATCTATAAAAATGGGCCCAACCAGCTAAGATGGGTTGGCACTTACTCACCTTGTCTACTAAATGTGTACACCAAGAGTTAATCCTGGTCACCAGCTCATCTTCCCTATTATCAATCTTCAGGAGGTGCATGTCATGTGATGCCCCAACGGCATTAACAATTGTGTCTTTGTCTGCAAAAAACTGGTGAGTGAAAAGACCCTAGTGAGATCATGTATATCATTACATCCTAAGCACAAACTAAGGGACCAGAATAGCAAAAGGACTCCTGGGAATCCTCTGGCTGTGCAGGCTGTGCCAGGTGGAGAACCCCTCTTTGTATTGGTACACGTTGTGCCAGCTCTTTTCAGGTGACAGCCACCTCTCTAACCCAAGCAGTAGCAGGTGTTACTCTGCAGTCCTCATTGGGAGCATGTTTTCTCCAGGGAGAAAACAGATGGCTGCCCAGGGTGATCTCACTCAGGACATCTGTTCTCACAAGGCCTCTCTCCTGGGAGTTTGCAAGTCTGACTTGCCCTAAATCCCACCAGGCAGGTGGGAGATGTAAGGCTGGCCAAGGGCCTAACAGCTGCTTTGAGGACCACAGGCTGATGAGTATTCAATCTTACTGTACCAAGATCAAACCTTATATTGCACCAAGATCAAACATTAGGGTCCATTTGGGTCTCCTGCCTTTCCAAGCTCTTGACCTTGCTTGCTGCCTTGTGGAAAAACTGTTCAAAGCAGCCACCCAGTAGCAGGCCTGGCTGGTTCAAGTGTTGACGTTGTGATTGTGCCTGAAAAATTTCATTTCCCAGAGTGGGGGAAAGCTGATGAAGCATTTAGGAGCCAGTTGCTTCCACATTGAGTTGAGGGTAATTTGTAATGGCAAGATTAGCAAAGGACCTAACTTTTATGTTGTAGAGAGGATAGCATGTGGGATGCACACAGATGGAGCATCTCATCTGAAATGATTGGAACCAAAAATGTATTCCAGGGGGCCTGCCCCTTAGCTCAGCTCTTTAAGTGGCTGCTTCAACAAAGCAGTCAGGCTCAGGTTGCTGTGGTTCGATCCCCACAACTCAAGCCAGCCAAACCTGCCTTGAAGGCATTTGGAGCTAGCCCCCCCCCAAAAAAAAAAATCCTTCTGCCAAAAATGTATTTCAGATTTTACAAGTTTTTGGATTTTGGAATATTTGCATAGACTTTTGTTTTTTTTTAAATAATATATTTAGTACAGGGTCTACAGGGTCTTACTACACAGATTGGACTCATAGTGATCCTCCTGTTTTCAACCTCTCAAGCGCTGGGATTACAGGCGCATGCCATCTGCCCAGTCTCAATCACTGTCTCAGTGTGCCCCGCTGGGGCCAGCATGGCATGCTGGCAGTCCAAGTCTGCCTAAGCAGGCACTTTAATCCACTGAACTATCTGGCTGGCCCTTAGACTCTTGGAGCATCCCTAATTGGGAATTCTGAAATCTGAAATGCTCAAAACCCTCTGAGTTTTGGATCAAGGATGCTCAACCTGTATTTGGTTTTTTTTTTCTTTTCTTTGTTTTTTTTTTTTTTTTTTTTTTTTTTTTTTTTTTGTATCAGAAATTGAACTCAGAACCTTGCACTTGGCAGGCAGGCGCTTAAGCTGCTGAGCTATCTCTCTGGCCCAGTTTTTGTTTTTCTATAGTAGTATTTAGTATTTCTATAGCTAATTTAGATAATACTATGTTCTGTGGAATCTTGACACATTTATATTTCTTGTCACAGACTGTTTCAGAGTAATGCCTGCAGGCTGTGGACAAAGCCAGGTTACAGGATGCAGGGGGTGGAGTAGCTGGGGAAATACTTAGCACAGTAACATGTAAGAAATAAGGGCTGGGGAGATGGCTCAGTAGAATAAGCGCTTGCCTGGCAAGTGCAAGGGCCTGAGTTCAATCCCTGGTTCCACCAAAAAGAAAGAAAAAGAAATGAGGGCTGGGGAGATAGCTTGGCGGTCTAAGTGCCTGCCTGGCAAGTGCAAAGACCTGAGCTCAATCTCCAGTACAGCATGCTGTGCTGTCCTGCCATGCTGGCCTCTGAAACTGGGCATGGTGGTGCACACCTATAATCCCAGCACTGGGGAGGCTGAGACAGGATTACTATGAGTCTAAACTGAGTAGTAAGACCTGTAACCAATACATAATAAATATATATATATATATATATATATATATATATTTTTTTTTTTTTTAGAAATGAGGTTATTATGTTTTATCTCTTTGGATACACAACCCCAGACAAGGCTCTGGGAAAGGGTAAAAAAATGTGTAAAACTGGCCATGCATGGTGTTGCAGCCCTGTAATTCCAGCCCTAGAGTAGGAGGCTGAGGCGGGAGGATTGCTGTGAGTTTGAGGCCAGCCTAGGCTACATAGTGAGTTCAAGGCCAGTCTGAATTACACAGCAAGATCTTGTCTATAAAAAGAAAAAGAAAGTGTAAAACTTGCCTGCACTGAGCCTCAGAAAGACTTCTCAGGCATGGGAACCCGTATATTTTAGAAATAGCCACAACCATAGCATCAACTAGAAAGTAAGTTGTAGCTAATCATAAACCAGGCAGAAAATATCTTCCTTCTCAGAGTTTGAATATATAGAAAATAGCTTCAAAGAGTTGAGAATCAACAAAAACTGAGGACAGCTTAGATACACATGAATTAGTTGAAGAAAACAATGTGATATTTGTAAAATATAAACAAAAGGAATCTGGTTTAAAGAAATCCTTGTGATTTTTGTTGCTTTGAGAGATTTTCTCACTATGTTGCCCGTGCTGGTCTTGATCTCCTGGGGTCAAGTGATCTCAGCCTCCCCAGTAAAGGAATACAGGTCACTGCACTTGGCTACAAAAATTCTTTGAACATACAAATTGTGAGTTTTCTCCAGACTTGAGATGGCCCAGAGTGGTGACCACTTCAGTTTTCCTCTTGGAATAGTTATTATGTGAAAATATTCTGGATTCCCCTCCAATTTCTGTGGGTTGAAAGCACTAGGATTGAGGCAGAAGCACAGGCTGCTCTTGTGCCTGGGGCTGTGTCCCCTGTTCCATAGGCCTTGCTGGACTTCACAGAGGTGACTTTTATAGCCACAAAGACACCTTCCCTTCAGAGCAACTTCAGGACTTCTGAGAAAGGTACAACAAGTGCCACTCTTTAGGACCACCATAAAACTAGTGACTTGATGCCCTGTGGCATGTGGGGTCAGGTCATCTTGCCAAACTCAATGACCCGCAGCCCTCTCCATGACAGACAAGGAGCAGCTTACCCTAATGGGGCAGGAACTTGTGCTGAGGTGTAGCTCCCTGGTCCAGGCCAGAGCTTCATGGTAGCCACCCTATCTACTGCTGTCCTGTGTCAGTTGTTCAAGTAGGTTCAGTGGACTTAAAAAATCTCCCTACCGTTAGGCCCAAGCACTGGCCCTGCCCTGCATACATATTCAGAGTACCCAGGTTACATATCTAATGTCCCTTCTGCCTCTCAAATGGGCAGCTATGGCTGCCAGCAGTACACAGGGGTCCTTGCTGCTAGCGCCAGCATTTAATTTCACTTTTCCAAGCTAGGAAAGACTTGAAGACATAGACATTTTGATAGTTTGGGCTCCAAGTATGGCCTGACCTGATAACAATCACTCTACCAAAGAGAGAAGTTATAGAGATAACCTCATCAATGTGACTTTTCATCTTGATCTGCTCATTGATCACTATGTAACAGAAGGCAGATTTCTTTCACCTAAGGCCCTCTTCCTTCCTTGGAACAACCACTCCTGCTGCAGGCTCAGTAGACATTTTGATAAAGGCTTTGAGTCCAACTGTTAGGGTTCAGATCACAGCTCTACTGCTTGGGCAGTTAACTTCAATCTGTGCCTCTGTTTCCACACCTATAAGACAAAACTATAATGGCATCTATACCATCATGTTAACATGAAGATTAAAAGAGCAGTTGCAGAGTGCTTTGCAGAGTGCTGGCCCTCACAGCCCACAGTAAAAATGCCAGCCCTTGGTAGTGGTTATTACTCCTTACAGTCAGGCCATGCCTTTTACTCCCCAGGAATAATAGGGCAATAAGGAGGCCCAGGCAACACTGTGAGATTTTGGTGACATCTTGGACAACTTCAGACATTCCTAAGAGGACAGAGCTTTTCACTGGCTGCTGCCATGAGGCACTAAAGACTGTACTCTACAATAGGCCTGCTAATAATCCCAAGAAGTGCCTTAGCTCAGAAGCAGAGCCCTCTGGCCCAGTGCCTTGGGCACCTCCAGAATGCCTGCCAACTTGTAGTCTACCATCAAGGGCACAGCATGGGCTCTACAGCAAGCCAGGCTCTGCATCTGTCAGACTACAGTCTCAATCCAGACTCTAGTCAACACAAGCTGTGCCATCTTGGGCATTTTACCAACCCTCTCTTGAGTACCAGTTTTACCCAGTTTTCTCATCTGTCACTTGGGATGGTACTTCCTTTGGTGAAGTAAATGAGATCATGTGTGATCTTCAGGTTTAGATAATGAATTTCTCCACTGAGGGAACCCAGTGTGCTGCCAGTTACTGCAGTCAGCAGGTTCTGAATGTTTCAGGAGCTATAGGAACAGGTGTCAGGTGGCACCAGGTAGGGCCTACTGGGCAGGAGGGCATCTGGCCACTGAAAGCACAGCCTCACCTGCTTCTCTGTTGCTGGCTCTGGGGCCCATCTTTTGCTATGTGTCTCAGTCAATAGGAAGTGAGTGTATTGTAGTACTGTGGCCACTGTGGGAACTCCGGTTTCCATGTGTCTGGATTCATCCTTGTCATTCACATCCCAGCTCAAGTGTCACTTCCTTGGAGAGGAACCCCAACCCACAATGGGGTTTCAGATCGGACTCTCAGAATAGGCAGGCTTCTTGGCTCAGGGAAGTCTAGTCAAAAGTTAGCTGCACTTAGCTGCTTATGGAGAGAAAGCTGGAGGTACAAAGACCCTGCCATCATGCTGCTGTGTTAGGTATCTGTCTTAGCCTCAGGACAGGGGCTAGAGTCAGGAATTTCTAGTCTTCTATCTGTAGGACTGAACCTAGCACCTGACAGGGCAGAGGCACTGTGTACTTTTGCTCTTACCCACTCAGTCCTGGCATCTATATTAGACACTGGATGCTGCTGCTGCCGCCACTGTGAGGTACGTGGTGGTTAAAAAAAAAAAAGCTGCTCCTGCCCTCTCTCTAGGTTTTATACATAGTGTGAATAATCATAAAGCAAATCAACATAAATCAGAGAGTTTGGGAGTGTGATAAGGCTCTGACCTGATAGATGAGGTGCTCATAGACAACTTTTCAGGAGGGTGATAAGGGACCACCTCTCCAAGGAAGTGACACTTGAGCTGGGATCTGAATGACAAGGATGAATCCAGACACATGGAAACCTGAGGGAAAAGCACACTTGCCAGATAGACTATCAGCTGAAAGGAGCCAGCTGGGAGCTGAGGATGAGACCTAAGGGAGGGTGCGGAGTGTGTGTGTGGGGGGGCTGGGGGCTTCCAAGGCAGGCAGGCTGACACTTGAGGGCCTGGTGACCATGGGGAAGGACTTACTCTAAGGTCATGGCAAGCTGCAAGCAGAGGTTGTGCAAAAGCATACAACAACATGGTCTGGGTTTTCAAAGGCTCTTTGCACATGTGAAGAACAGCACTTAAGAGGGCAGCACAGAGGACAGGAGAGGGGAGGCATGGCTTGGTGGAATCATGGCAGTAGAGAGAAGCAGAGGAACTGGCAGTGGAGTGAGTAATGCACAAGTGAGAGCAGGCCTCTGATGTGGAAAAGATAAGCGCAAGCCTTTCCACCCGTACTTGTGTTCCTTCCCAGGGCCAAATACACTGCTGCTGCTGGACTCTAGATCCCACTAATTCTCTAACTATCATTACTGAATATATGGGGGCAACATGCTATCTCAGCCTGGAGTGGTTCCAATGTATCAGTAGTACTTTTCACTGTAGTCACTTTAAGATTAAGACCATTAGGGAAAGCTCAGACCTTAACTTTTATTTAACTTAAATAACTCTCTAATTCTCTCCCTTAGAAAGTGCCAGAAGTCCTCCCAAAATGGAATTTTGTTTGTTTGTTTGTTTGTTTGTTTGAGAAAGGATCTTAACACGTAGTCTAGGCTGGTCTTGAACTCACTATGTAGCCCAAAACTTGCAGCAATCTTCCTGCCTCACCCACCCAAGAGCTTGGATTATACACACATCATCATGCCTACCTGGAAGCCAACCTGTTGAAAAGTTTAAGCCATCTAACTAACCATTAGGAGTTCTTCTTCTTTTGATCCCATTTGAGTGTGCCCCAGAGATACCTTATTTGCTACCCTCTTTCACCCACCAACTCTATAAAACACTTTACTCTCTCCTATTGTAGATGGGGAAACTGAGGCTCAGGGAGGTTGTCAACCTTAAGTGAGCCATGGAACTGGGCTGGACCCAGTTTGTCTGGCTCCCGTGTATAGCCCGCTGCACTCTGCCCTGGCCTCTGTGCTCACCGTGCGCACGTCATCTGGCAGTTCTTCATCTAGCTCGCCCTTGATAATCTTCTCAAGGGTGCCAATGGAGATCTCCAAGAGTTTCTCGTGGTGGTGGTTCTCCAGTTCTCGGCACTGAGCCATCGTGCAATCAAGAGTTAAGCAAAGCCAGGACAGTGCAGGATGACCTCTCCTGACCTGTGGCTGGGTCTCTGCTAGGCAGAGGTCCATCTCAGCTGGACAAGAACAGATTTATAGGGGAAACTTGGAGATGCCAGCAGTCATTGCCATCACAGATGTCACTTATAGGCACCAAGCCCCAAGGCTGTCCCTAACTATCTCTCCTTTGCATCTGCTCTATACATGGTTCTCACTAACCCTCAGAACTGGTTTCTTCTGACTGTCCCTCTATCATTCACTTCTGCACCCCCACCACCTACCATCTGGACAGTGCCTGCTAGCCAGCGTGGGCTTTCCACACTCATGCTCTTCCTACAGCAGTGAATTGAGCTTAAGGATGTAGATACCTGGGACCTATGTGTCCTCTGCTTAAAGCTCCCAGGAGATTGTGGCTCTCTGACATGGCCTGAAATCACCCTCTGGAAACCACACTCCCCTGGCTCATGTACAGCTTTGCACAAGCTTCCTTTTCCTCCTGCAGTGTCTCACTACCCTTTCACCTGGTACCTCTGGTCACCTACAGGCGTTCACTTAGTATACCCTCGCTTCGGCAGGCTCCCTGGCCTCTGGGTTGGCTGGCACTCACCTCATAACTTGGATACCATTTTTTACCTTCACAACTTCTGTCTGCTATATTCTGAGCCCCAAGAGGACAGGAATAAGGACTTCTCTGGGATACACCATAATAGTTTGTCCCTTCATGTGGCAGGGCCCTGCGATCAGGTGGCAGAAGGTTGCTTCTGCTTTTAATTTTAGCTCCTAACATTAATATTTAAACTGATAAGTTCATTATAAGCATTGTTCGTGGATTGCCTCTCCCAGAGAGTGTTTGGCTGTAACACAGAAGTAGTGATTCAGGGGTGCCATCTCTGCATGAACATCACCCTTTTGAGAACAAACATGCTAAGCCTTTACATCTGTCCCTCTGGGCATCCAAACTGTCATTCTAACAAAGCCACCATTGTTCTGAGAGTTGGGAAACCCCCTTAGGCCCTGTGGAACATTCTTCTGAACAGCTTCTGTGGTTGTCAAATCTGCATCTTTTAAAAGTGAGCTTTTTTCTCCAGAAACTAGAGGTTTCCATTCTTCTAATATCAAAGGTAGAGAACCTCATTTAGGATCTTAGGATGAATTTAAATGTCCTCTTGGTGGAAGTATAGATCTTTCTGAAATGTAAGTGGGAGGGCTGGCCAAATAGCTCAGCAGACTAAAGCACCTGCTTAGGTGGAGCATAGCGGCCAGGGTTCAAACCCCCACCCCCACCCCCACCCTCACCCCTGAGTGCTGCACTGACCCTGCCCCCAGGGCACCCTGAGAGGGCAACTGAGACTGGGTGTTGTGGCCAAGACCTGTAATTCCAGCTCTTGGGAGGCTGACCACAGGCAGATCACTGCAAGTCCCATCTAACCACTCTATGTATGTAGTGAGACCCTGTAGACCCTATAGACCCTGTACTAAATTTTTTAAAAAAGGCCAGGAGATAGCTCAATAGAATAAGTGCTTGCCTAGCAAGTGCAGGGTCCTGAATTCAATACCCAGTACCACACACACACACACACACACACACACACACACACACACACACAAAGAAAGAAAGAAAGGAAAGAAAAAAGAAAGAAATGTAAGTGGGGAGAGGGAGGATGGAGGAGGTGGCCAACTGGAAGGGGGCCCCATTTATTTGTATCCTGCTCAGTTTCTGAAAAAAATTTGCTCTTCCTTTACTTTTGTTTAAACTGCAGGGATCTCTTCTGTTGCTCTCCTATAGCCCAGGACTGGAGGACATCCCAGAAAGGATATAGGCTCTGGACATTTTCAATAAATAATCCCACCATGTCAGTGATGTTCCTTTCAAACATGTTTATGGTCTCCTGGAGATGATAAAGAACACAGTTAACGTGCATATTGAGACACTTCACACCACAGGACAAGGTGCTGTTTAGAACTCAGAAGGTGCCTCCTTGAGGCACAGACCTTCACTATCCACCTTGGAGGTAAGGACCATTCACCTTGACCTTCCTGGGAACAGGGTTGAAAACTCCCTCTTCTTTCTCCAGGCTTTTTTTGCTCTCTAGTATCAACTCAATCCTCCCAGAAAATGTGTACTACTGTTTTCTAACCTTTGCTGTGTTGGTCTCTGCTGAGAATACCTGTGCTGGTTGTACTCCCTTCACTTCCCCTTATTTCCCAAAACTAACTCCCTTCCTTGTGAGCTTCTCCATGCCATCTGTCCATCGCCTCCAGAGAAACAGTGTGGGGAGCTATCAAGAGCCAGCTTGCCTGGGTCAGTGTCCAAGCTCTATCATTGTGTGTCACTCAGGGAAAGTCATTTAACTCTCAGAACCCCTGGAGCCTCACCTGTGAAATGGATTTCCTACACAGTGCCTATCTCATGAAGTGTGGTGGGGTTCTATGAGCTACTTCACACAAGATGCTTTGCAAGGTACCTGGCAAGGTCGCTTGGTAGGTTCTGGCTGTTACCCCAGACCTCCCACCATTTGTTACTGTTGTCAGTTCAGCAAGGCACCTTAGACCTAAGAGGACTTCATGTTGATGGAGAGAACAATAGAAGTGCTTTGTGAAGTCTGCTTTTCTGAAAGCCTCTCCCCCAAGCTGTCACAGACCCCAGGGGCTGCAAGGTGGGCCAAGGTGCTGGGGGTCCAGGGAGCCTAAAGACTATCTGCAGGCTAAGAAAATGAAACAGTTTTCAAATGTGTGTAAGGTTGTTGTAGTGAATAAAAATAGATCACTGGAAAGCGTGGCTGTCCTTCCCACGTTCTGGCCACTGGTAAGACAAGGACAACACATACTTCTGGGAAGTGATGGATGGGAAAAAGCCATCTTCCTGCTTGAAAAGGAGGGAAGCTGTTGGCTGGCCCGCCCCTTGTGCTGTGCTGCTTCTGCAGTGCTCAAGCATTCCCTAGTGGGGAGAAAGTGACTGCATGACATGTGACAGTGAAATCTAGCCCATGTCTGAGGTGTCACTTGATGTGTGAGGAATTGATTAGGTGTTATCTCTTGGCCCAGCCACAGCAGCATCTGATGAGGTTCAATTCATCACACCACTTCCAACTCCCAGCTTCCGATGCCTGCAAACACACAAGTCACCCTGGCTGCTAATGAATTTTAGTCACCAGTGCTTTTCATTTCCATTCGTAGGTGCTGAGTTGCAGGTTCCTTGTGTCACCCAGGAAACAGTGACTATAGCTATGATCTGGAGGAGCCTTTGTCTGGTCCTTGACTGGGATCCACTTTGTTTTGGGAGTACCCAGAATGTTCGAGTCTAATCTTTTTTTGAGACAGGGTGTCACTATACAGTTCAGGCTGGCCTTGAGCTCACTTTGTAGCCCAGGCTGGTCTCAAACTCACAATAATCCTCCTGCCTCAGCCTCCTGAATGCTTGGATGACAGGCATGCACCACCATGCCTGGCTTTCCTTGAGTCTAATCAAAAGGCGCCTTGAACCTCTTCCCCACTGAGGCTCTGAGCTCTTCTAGGATGGGGAAGACATTCCAGAGGAATTAACTTCTCACTCTCTACAAGAATCATTTCTTGTCTAAATTATTAAAATGTACTAAAAACAGGGATTTGTGGTGGAGCTTATTGGTATAGCACTTGCTTAGCATGAATGGAACCCCGAGTTCTATCCTAGCATTGCCAAAAGATTTTTTTAAAGTATGAAATGGAAACACAGCGGTGATGAGCAAGAGTTCTTCAGTGTTATGTGCTGGGTTGCACTACAGCAGTGCTGGTAAACCTATGGCATGCATGACACAGCAGGCATGCAGAGGCTTCTCTGTTGGCACATTTGCCAGGTTGCCCCAGCAGCTGATAACTGATATCCAGGTTTACTTACAGTGCTGGCACTTTGTAATAAATGAGTGGGTTTTGGGTTGCAGTTTGGGCACTTGGTCTCACTGCACTAGACGTTTCCCAACAGAGGGGTGCCCATAGAGGCTGCAGCTTGTGGGTGGTTCTGCAGCTGCACCTGCAAGTTCTTGCATCTGCATTCAGGGCTGGCCTCACCTCCAGCTGTTCTACCAGCTGCAACTCCAGCGTCATAAGCACGTTGAATAGCTCCGTGATGTCCTCACTGCACTCCACTATCTTCTTCTCAATGGCTAGCAGTTCACTTTCTTCTCGAATGGCACTTAGATTCTAGAAACAAAAGCCTATGCTTCAGGGACGGAGAGATAGCCCAGTAGAATAAGTGCTTACCAGGCAAGTGCAAGGTCCTGAGTTTAATCCCTGGAACCACAAAAATAAGAACAAACCAAAAAAGCCTATGCTTCAGGAACCAACAATTAAGTATAATTAGTTAATAATAAGTGGTGATTTGGTTTTGTGGATTAAAAACTTGGAATCTGGGTTTGGACTTGACCAAGTTCAAGTCTCAGCTGTGACATGCTGCTCTGTGAGTTTGTAAAACCTATTTACTCCTTTGGCATTGAATCGAAGATGTTTGAAAATCAGCAGATGCAAGAAGGGTCCTCTGATCTCCCCTTTTCTCTCTGAGAGAAGATGAAACTCCCAAGGGAGAGGTGCCCTTCGTACATTCGCATCACTAGACATGGAGGAGTCAAGGCCAAGAGAAATCTGTACAAATGAATCTTGTAAACTAGTCTGCCTAGTCACTTTTCCATTAACTGCCCCATCCCAACCCCTTTGTCTTGTTTTTATAATTTACTTTTTGTCCAATCTAGTATTGTCATATGCCCCTCAAAGGCATTTTGCTCAATGATGTACCACTCATATGATAGTGGTCTCATAAGATTATAATAGAGCTGAAATGTTTTATCACATAGTGATGCCATGGGTATCTTAGATATACCCTATGACATTCACACAATGACAAAATCACCTAAAGACACATTTTTTAGAACCTATGCCATGTCATTTAGTGATGTGTGACTATACACTGAGCTTATGACCCTGCTTATTTGTATTTTCATTTTTCTTGTTGAATGCTCCCGTGTACATGTAGAAATGACTACATAAAATTTGTGAACTACAAGCCACATATGGTTATAGGCACAGACCTGTAATTCCAACACTCTGACAGACAGAGATCACAAGTTCAAGGCCAGCCTGGGCAATTTGACAACTTAGTGAGACTGTCAAAATATAAAATAAAAAGGGCTGGGGCTGGTGAGATGGCTCAGTGGTCTAAAACACCTACTTGGAACAAGCTTAGCAAAGCACAGGGACTGCGGTTCAATCCCCCAGCACCACATGCCAGCCAGCCCCGCCCCCTGGTGGACTGAGCTGGCCACACACACACACACACACACACACAAATAAATAAATAAAATTTTAAAAAATAAAATAAAAAGGGCTGGGGATACAGTTCAGTGCAAAGGTCCTGAGTTCAATCCTCAGTATTACAATCAATGGATCAATCAATCAATCAAATAAAAACACATATATGAATCAAATTGTGTTTGAGACAGGGTCTTACAAAGTTGCTAAGTTGCCTAGACGGAACTAGAACTTGTGACCCTATCTCAGCCTCTGAACAACTGGAATTACATGTATGTGCTAAAATGTCCAGTTTCCAGGGGCATATCTTATGTGACAGAGACCCAGAGGTACCCTGTCAGCTCAGCACCTAGTTGAGGGTGCTGGGATGAACTTGGGCCCTAGCTTGCCATTGTAGTGTGATCCTTGACAAACAGGACAATGACCCTGGGCCTGAGGTGTTGTCAGAAGGTATACGACTGGCAGTCCCTCCCCACATGGAACAGCTGAGGACACCTAGAGTAGAGGCAGAGGAAAACGTACCAGTAGGTGCTTCTCTTCAAACCTGGCGATCCTCAGTTTGCCCTGCTCCTGGTTTTCCTGGATGGCCTCCTGGACACATTCAGTGAAGGTATCCAGCTCTAGTTTCCGTTTCTCATGCTGTTTTAGGCCATACTCAAAAATATTCAGGCAGATGATAACAAATTTGTCCTTATAGGTAAATGGCTGTTAAGGAAGCTCTGGAGTAGGCCATTGGGGTGGGGTAAAGGACAGTGATAAAGTGTTGGCAACTCCCAGCCTAGAGTGCAGACTGTATGTTGAACTCTGTGCATATAATTTGAACCCCTGCTTCCATAGGGTCCCTTTAACAGATTAAGAAATTGAGGCCCGCAGAGCTAGGATTTGAAGCATAGCATAAGGGTTAGGGCATCTTCAACACGAGCAATTTAGAAGGCCCCACAAGAGACCTAGAGGACCTTAGGCCAAGGAGAGACCGGCCATCACTGGCCGGGGAAATGGCAGTGTATGCTTTTGTCTCCAGTGAGTTATTTAGGAAGGCACATTTGGTGAGGGCCTATCTTGGTGTCAGCGGAGCTCAGGGGACATCACAGGGTCAAAGCAGATGATCCAGGTTCAAGTCCTGGCTCAGCCACTGCTTCTGGATCCACCCTGACCAGTCACTTCTCCATGCTGGGCCTTAATTCCTTATCTGCAATTGAGGGCATGAAAGGCCCGGCCTCATAGTGTCCTTGGGAAAAGTCTTTGGGATCAGGTGGGTACAGCCTACAGGAAGGACCTTGGGTAACTGTGTTGAGATTACCAATTGTGTAATTGTGTTGACTCATCCAGAGTCAAAAGAGCATATATGATAGAGGCACATCTTGGTTACTTGAGGTGGACGGTGACCAGGCTAGGCATGAGCTTGTCCATCTGACCTGGAATTTTGCTCCTCACTGTCCTTCACTGCACCACCCCATTCACTTCAGAATGTTAGCATTTTGAGTGAATTTTTATTCTGTATGAAAGTTGTCTGATTCAATAAAAGGATTACCTGGGTCAAACCCTAGCTAAGAGGAGCCAGGGAAGGTCATGAAGGGAGGGGCTCGCAGACACAGAGTAACTCTATCAAAAGAACAGCTAGCCATGCTGCACAGGGACAGCTGGTGGTTTATACAGTTATACTTGTCTGCCACTATTTCAAAAGCCTGACTCCGCAAAACAGCTGTTCAGTGACTGCTGGCACCATGAATGTGGACCACTAAGTGGCTTTTCTCTTTCCTACCCACATTGAGCTTTTCTTTTGTTCTCTAGATGGATTCTGGGCCATACTATTCTATGTGTGGATCTCAATCTGCAACTCTGTTTTCATATTTTATTACCAAATGAATGATTGCTTTATTAGATATCTGTGTGTATTTTCCTGGATGCTGATACCAGTGACGGGCTCAACAACCCTCATCTGGATCTGGTTGTCTCATCTCAGAGCCTCTCAGAACTAGGAACTCCTCCTATCTACCCGGGTCCTCAGCTTAGAATTTAAGCCTGTATTTTGGTTGTCATGGCCACTGTCTCCATGACAAGTGCTTATCACATCCTCTGGGCTCTGGCCCTCCAGCAAAGAATGCAGGCTCTCAGGTCCACTTGTCAGGGTTCAAATCCTGAGTGTTGTTTTTTCCCTAGCATGAGGATCAAAACTAGGGATGTTCTACCACTGAACTGCGTCCCAAGCACCTTCCCACTTTCTGAGACAGGGTCTTGCTAAATTTTGCCTAGGTGGGCTCCAACTTGTGATCCTCCTGCCTCACCCTCACTCAGTGCTCAGATTATAGGCATGTGTCACTGAGCTGGCTCCAAATCTTGGCTCCAATTTCTAATGCAGTGACCTTAGAGAAGCCACTTTCCCTCTCCAAGTTTAGTTTCCTTAGCAATATAAGGGGCTAATAATAGCACTCATCTAGTAAGGTGTGGAGGAAATTATGAACAATGTATGCAAGTACATAGCAAGAACAAATAAATATGGCTAATGGGAATCCCTTTCTATGGACACACCTTGCTTACTAAGCATGGCAAACCCATGCCGTGCCAACCAGTCCATTGATATGTCCTCTAAAATCTATCTGGCATTGTCCCCACACAACTCAAATGACCTAGCTGGCCCTACCTATTATATACTTCCCAGAGTCTCACATAAGACATGGGGACACTGAGTTCTAGAGTAGAGGAAATGTGCTTAAGGCAGGTGGGTGGTACCAACTAGGCTCATGACAGAAGAGGTAGTTGTGAAGCAGGAAGGATATACTTCGAGGAGCTCGCCCACAATGGGCAGACAGGACAGTTTGTTGCCCTCCATGTCCTCAGCGTACATGCTGTCAAACAGGAAGGAACCATTCAGGTTTTCGACAAATGCCATCTGTTGGTAGGAACATACTGGGTGTAGTGATCCCAAGCTGGCCCTGTGTGTGGACACTGGGCAGGAAGCCCTGTACTGGAAGAGGGAATGCTGTACTTGGGCTGCAGCCTCCTCCCAGGGAGGTGGGTATGCGGATTATTCAGGGGAGTGCATATGTGTAGGTGCAGAGGACGTGGTTGCAGGCTAGTCCTGCAAAATCATGCTTACACTGAGCTAAAGGACTTCAACTGTATCTGTATGCCACAGAAAAATCACCTAAGGGTCTTAAAAACAAGAGCTGTTAAGACAGGCTGTTTTTAGTAGACTTTCCAGAGGCCCTGGGCTGAGATGAGATGGAGCTAATGTTGGGTTCCAGGAGGTAGGGCAGAGCCTGATGGAAAAATGTCAGAAAATGATTTACATAATTTAGAGTCTGGGGATCCCTGTAGATCTCCACTTACCGCAATCAATGCATGTTCATGGGTATTTCTGAGCCAGGCTGGGGTGTGACCCCTCCCCCAGGGGTACCTTGTATTCCTCCAGTTTCATTATCTGAGCCTGTTCCTCCTGTAGTTGGGCCTGCCTCAGGTGCTCCCGGTGCTTCAGCTCATCGATTGTGTACTGGTATTTCATTTCCGCCAGATCTTTCTGAGCAGGGAATAGAAAGCTGGCATCATTATTAGGACATTTAGTCCTTCTGAGCCACAGTGACTTCTGCCATCCTGTGGCTTCTCAAGTATGAGCTGGAGGGTTGGAGGGAGGGTCCCTTTCATGGAGGTTGGGAAAGATGGGTGATCACGAGATGAGAAGATTTGCCTCCTTATGAACATTTCCAGGTATCCTAAGCCCAAGGGAAATCACAGTACTGGGAATTCCTGGAGCTTGGAAGTGTCCAAGTGCCTGCCTTTAGCCTCTGATCAGTGGGAACTGTTCCTGGCCTGTCCTCTGCCCGAGTCCCACAACATTAAGAAGCCTAGGTCTTGGGGCAGCCTGTGGCTGGCTCATGTAAAGCAGTAACTGGGCAGGGAGTTTCAAGTACTTTTGCTTGTAGAACTCTGCTTTTTAGAACCTTTGCTTATTATTTAGCTTAATGATTCTAGGTAGGTGTCTGAATCATGGAAGGGATCTTCGCTTACTGAGCAATGGGATGCACTGCTCATCCTGGATGGACACATCCAAGGACCTTTTGCTTTGGTGCTGCACAGGGTTAGGCTTTCCTGTGTTTTTATAATAGGCAGAACACATCCAAACAGGTCTGTAGCCTATTCTAAGCATTTTAAATTATGCTGATGTGAGTAACTTAAAAGTTTTATATACGTACTGGATGCTAAACAATTGTGCCACTGGAGCTCCTAAAAAATTAAGAGTTTTAGAATTCAAACTCGATCTTTTAGATTGTTGACAGATAGAAGAAAGCCCATAGTCAGCAGAGGGGTATCTTTTTGGCCCAATACTGTCTCTTTAAATCTCCAAGGAAGATTCTGGCAAGCGAAGTACTCCACGCTTGGAAGCAGCTGGACCCCAGCTCCATGGACAGGCTACTAGAGTCTGGGTCAACTTGCCTAACTCTCCTCCCTGCTTCAAATGACCTCCCTGGGATCCCCCCAAATCACTTCAGTGTCCTGAACATGGGTTTTTCTCTCCCAATAATAAAGGTACAAGTTTCATGACAGGAGTGGGCAAGTCAACATCTGTCATCCAAGCAATGTTACTCAGGGGCTTCTCTGTCCTGCCACCAAAGGGTGGGATTCTTTTTTTCTTCTTTCTGTGAAACTTGGGCTCCTGAAGGCTCTGTCTCACAAAGCCAGGGGAAAGAAAGGAACACTTGCCATGTGGTCATCGATACGTCTGAAGTCCAGGTACATGAGATCAGGAAGGTGAGCACAGATGAACATTTTGTAATCCTCTGCCTGGGTAATGGGGTTCCCTGAGAGGCTGAGTGTGCGCAGGCACTTGAACTGCCGCAGGTAGATGATCTGGGGAGAATTGGGGGGAAAGATCCATTTTTTTTGCAGCTACAGAGCTGAAAACAGATATGGCAGCATTTCTCCAGCACTCTTCTGGAGTTTTCAGCCTGGTGAGGGTGCTTTCTAAGTATACAAGTGAGGAGGTGGGGCTTCCAAACCAGACACCAAATTGAGATCTTTAATCAGATCTAAGCTTTCTAAAGACTCAGTCAACCAGGGTTCAATCCCAGCTGTGAACTTTGGAAAGTTACCTAGCATCTAGGAAGCTCAGTTTTCTCATCTGTAATGTGGGTATAAGCATACTGTGTGTGTTACAGGTGATGTAAAAACCAAATGAAATAAGTTCTGGAAAACATTCAGAAGAGTCCCTGATGCCCTGATGGCCAGGTGTCAAACCTGGCCTGGTTTACTTAGCAAGACCCTCCTTCAAATAAAAATTTAAAGGAGTTGGGTCCTAGATTCACTTCCTAATAAAACACACACACACACAAACTGAACTAAGAAACGAGGATAATTATAGTAATTGCAGTGATGATGGTTAGTGGTCATTCAGAATAGCTGTTCCTTTTTGCCCACTTTTGGAAAAGTCCATATCTTTTTTTTTTTTTTTTTTTTCAGAGACAGAGTCTCATTATGTACTCCAGGCTGGCTTTGAACTCACTATGTAGCCCACACTGATGTTGAACTCATGGTAATCCTTCTTTTTCTTCTTCTTCTTCTTTTTTTTTTGAAGAAATGGAGATTGAGTTCAGGCCCTTGTGCTTACCAGACAAGCGCTTATTCTACTGACCCATCTTCCCAGCCCTCATGGTAATCCGAACTTCTGTCTCAGCCTCCCAATTGCTGGGATTACAGTTATGCACCACCATGCCCAGTTAAACCTCTTAAATTAAATGGAACTAACATACAGCTAACTTTGAATTCACTGGTCATAGTGAGTGGACCATTTCCACTATTTGCTGTTCATTCCTCCTATTCTCCCGTTTTAGTAAAATAAGAAAAAGTCAAGCACGTGGTGAATAACTTCATGTGGGCACTGCTTGAGTATCTTGCCACAGTGCTCTGCATGGCATGGGAGGAACTGTATGTGCTTTTCTAAATGCATTTTTCAGTCATTTCTTTCTTATTTAACCAACAAAACTTTCTAAGCACTTAACAGGGTTCAGGTAGGTGGCTGACTTTGGCAATATGAGCCAGGAGCGTGGCCCATGAGTCCTTGCCCCAATAATCTAACAGCAAGAGCTTATATTCTAGAAGTGAGGCAAAATGTTTTTTACAGTAAAATCATTACAGTTCAGGCTAAGTGCTATAAAGAAGGTAAGGATAGGGTAAGTGCTATAAAGAGAGAAAATAACAAAGAGGCCTTTTTCAGATAGGGGGCTCTGAGGTCTTAGAGGGGGGCAGTGATTAACCTGAGACCCAAGGGAGTCAGCCACAGCAGAGCTGGGACAGCATATTCCCAGAGCTGAAACAGTGCAGGCAAAGGCTTGGAGATACAGGGGAACTTGGCAGCTAGCAGGAATTAAACAAAGGCCATGTGGCCGCAGGATTCTGCAGGGGGCGCAGCAAGAAGGGTATGAAATGGCGCTGGATAGTCAGGGTCTTGTGAGTGAAGCCTACAGACTGAGCGCACAGTGTGGATTTTTTCTCTCAAGGACAATGAGGGAGACAGGATGTGGTTTAACTTTTAGGAGATGCCCCAAATGAGAGTCTACTTTTCATCTTTTAGATCGGCAAATAGAAATGTTTGATAACATTGTGTGGTGGAAGTTCAGAAAGAGGAGGCTGTCCCATCATTGCCAACAGGCCTGTGAACAGCTTGCTTTCTTTCTTTCCTTTTTTTTTTTTTTTTTTGGGGGGGGGGAGGCTGCTCAGGTTGCCTTCAGGGTAGGTCTGGTATGGCTTGAGGATGAGGGGATCAAACCACAGCATCCTGAGCCTGACTGCTTTGTTTCAGCAGGCACTTAAACACCTGAGCTAATGGGCAAGCCCCCAAACAGCTTTATTTTAGAAGTGGGCAATTTGACTAAAATCTATCAAAGTTAAAAATGTATATGATCCCTGATCTTAGAAGTCCTCCCTAGGAGTTTATCTTACGGATGGATTAACCCAGGGGCAAGAACATCCCCTGGTTCAAGGACATTCACTGTAGCCTGTGTGTAATGGTACCAGCTTAGAACCAACCTTGGCATCCTCCTCCAGGGAAATGAAAAATATGCCATGTTTGTAGGATTCAGCAGAGAAAGGGGACTGACAATTCAAAAGAGAGGGGACAACTAAAGTCAGGAAGGTACTTGTGCACAGTGTTTAGATACCAGGCACCTGGAGAAAAGCACAGCTTAGAAGTACTTGTGGTTCTGGGAGATGGAAGCAAGGAATAAGGCCAGGAATAAGAAGACTCTTCTTGTGTGCCCTGAGTTGTGCTTCAAAGTCTGTGTTTTTAGAGCAATAAGCAGGTTATAAGCCTTGGGAGTAAATAAATGACAAGAGAGCATGTGCTTAGATGTCAGATAAACAGGGAAGGTAAGAATTAAAAGAAAAATGCTGGTGTTAGAAGCCAACACCTGAGAAGTGTCTGTCATGACACACTGGGCCAAGTCCCATAGAGGGTGGGTGCTGGATTAATTAAAGAAGATTCTGGATCCCTAGAGCCAACAGGACACAGTCAGGCCTTGGGAACATCTGGCCCAGATTCCTCAGCACTCCCTGGCAGCCTGTCCCCATGGGCCTTCTGTCTTACTCTTGCTCTAGGGACTAGCTATATGAGTATCTTGAATAATCATGTAGGGCTACATAGTACCCACTGAATATAGGTTATGGGATGTTTTCTTGCCCATGCCTTGCAAGATGGGAAGATATCCAAGGTCCAGGGGGTGGGATCAGAGCACAACCACCTCCACATTCTTTCATGTCCAGGTCTGGGCCTTTAGAGGAACAGGGCCTCAGCTCCAGTAAACTTCCAAGTCTGAGGGATTAAAAAATCAGAAGGGGTTCATTTACATGCACCCTGGTGTGTAGGATACACCAATCCAGATGGTTCTAAATGTTCATAGAAAGTTTCAAGCAGTACTATTGAGGAATGAGGGTATGGTTCAGTGGCACAGAACTAGTCTCGCATGTAGCAGGCCCTGGTTCAATCCTCAGTAAGGAGGAAAAAAAAGAGAGAAAGAAGGTTTTGACTGTATTTTCAAATTATAACACTTCTATGTAGCCATTATGTATCAGGCCCTGTATGAAGCATCTACACTCTAGTCGATTCAACTGTCACAACAACCCTATGAGGTAAAAACTACTACTAATGCCATGTTACAAATACGCAGATGGAAACACAGAACTCTTAAGTCACCAGGCCCAAGGTCATATAGCTGGTAGGTGGCAGTGCTGAGATTTAAACACAAGCTGACTAAATCTGAGCTCTGATGTCATTAGCCTGCCTTTTGACCCTATGCCTCACCCTGCCAGACTTTCTTTATCCCTGAGAAGGGTACTGGTGGGTTTAAATCCTCTGAATGGCATGGAGGGAAAGCTTTTGAGATTACACCACCTCTGGTGTTTGGATACACCTTCAGCAATTCACTTCAGCCACCAGCCTGGTCATGCTCTAGCCAGGATACTGGGCTGAAGATATATACACAGCCTAAGGTGATTTGGTCTAACCCTTATATTCGAGGGAGATTTCTTACTTTCTCTGTTCTGCTAGATATAAACCAGGAAACCTGTAAGGATTTGACTGCAAGGGGAAGCAACCTTGGGCAGAAAGTGAGGCTGGCAGAACCCAGAAGTGGAAGGAATCAGTGTCCTTGAAGTCCCATTGCCAAGTTGCCCCTATTTGCAGTGTCAATAACCAAGCCACTAAATGTCCTTGTTTATGGCCAGTGCTTGGCTGACCTCTGACTTTAGATGCCACTGTATCAGGTTCTTGTTGACAGCACCCAGCTCCTCACTGGTTTTCTGTGTCACAGAGGTCTCTGACATCAAGAGGTAGGCCCAGAAGCCAGGTGGGGAGGGAGCTAATTCCCCAGGAGCAATGCCAGCTGTTGAAGAACAGGACTTTCAGTCAGTGCCTAGGAGGCCTTGTGTGGTCACTTCTGGGAAGCACTGTGGGTATTTCTGAGGCCCAGCAGGATTCGGCCACCATCACCTGCAGAAGCAACCTCATGTCACCCATATATTAGTTCTTCTTTTCCTCAACCACTCTCTTCAGCTTTCTGAAGTTACCTCCCACACAAACCTCCTGCACCCACATCCTTGTCTTACCTCTGGTTCCACCCAGTTGGAGTTAAGATTTTCTGACACTTGCAGGTCAAGCACCCTTTCTGGAGACGCTGTTGTAGTCACCATTCCTTTGACACCTTCCCCTCCAAGTCCACCCTCATGGTGGTGTGTTTCCTTCCTAAATGTAGACATAGCCTGAACATACCATAGCACAAAGCCATCTGGATTCTAATGTTTCTCTGGATGCCCCTCGCTGCAGGGAGCCCATCTCCCAGGGTAAGCCCAAATCTGGGCACAACCTGGACTTCTCAGGACCCTTAACCCTTCCATGGTGCTAATAAAGTCAGCTCTCCTAGGTAGCCTCTGGCCCTTTACTCACACTATCCTTATCTCCTAAGAACTCTTATTTTGCTAGATGAAAAATTCTCATCATCTCTTAGTGAGTCTGAAGCAAGTTGCCTCTTGTTCCCTGACATTCTTCCAGGAAGGATGTCAACTATGACAGGTCCTCTGCTTATTAAGAACCTGTTTCAGTCCAACCCTGAACCAAGTAATTTATGTTCAGTACCTCACTTGATTCTTGTGAGGGCCTAGACAGGTGGGATATTGACACTCTGTCCATTAGACAGGCAAGAAAACTGAGTCATGGAGGACTAGTACCTTACTCAGATTTCAATCCTCCAGAATGCCAGGTAAAATTCTGAGACTACACTGTCTCTGGGGTTGGACCTTGCTGAACAGACTCAAACAGTGATAGTAACTTGACAAATGACCTGCCCAGGCTGTTCATCTAACTCTCTCTGGCTTTCAGCTGGGGTGTAACCCAGACCATCAGACGAGCTAAGCAACAAAAGAGCCTTGAGATGATGCTGGACAACACCGGGATTGGTGGGCATGCTGGAGAAGCAGACCAGACCAAGGCTGTCTAGTAGTGTCCCTACTTGGTCACTGACACAGGACCCTCATGGCACTGCTGGGGTCTCAGTCCTACCCCACTGCTGTGAGCCCATGCAGCTGAGTGGGGGAAACCTACTTTCCCCAAGATACCCAATATCCACTATTACACAGACACACCCCTGGCACCTGGGATGCCATCCTACCCTCCATGGATCTTGCCTTACTGTTCTTCAGGCCCTTAGCTTCCTGTCACATGTGTCTGGGTGTGGGCTTTCCCCCCCAAGGGATCATAATCTGCACCCACTAAGCACAAGACAAATGCCCCACATTCAACAGATCTTCACCTTAACGAATGTTTGTTAAATGAGCATGAATGAGATGCAGGGAAAGAAAGAGACTCTACTAAAACTGAGGTTGCAAACTGGACTTAAAGGCGGGTTTTAGCATTGTACTTAAACATTAGTAAGCCCCATATGAAATAATCTAGATGTCTATATTTCCAGGCAAAGGGAGAGATCGGGAACATTCACTCTGAAATTTTCATGCAACAGATGCCCACCCTGAACATCACACAAGTCCCAAGACCTAGATACTCACATTCATCATGTTATCAATCTGGTTGTTGCCCAGGGACAGCACCTGCAGCTTGACCAGTGTATCCAGAGAGTCAATCTTAGAGATCCGATTGTTGAACAAACTCAGGTCCTCCAGGTTCACGAGGGTGTCCAGCCCCTCAATAACCTTGATGTTGTTAAAAGACAGATCTGGGAAGGGAAGAGTAGTCTGGAGATATGCTGCCTGGGCCAGGGGAGGGACTGTCCTGAAATAAAATCATCAGGGCTACTATGTATTCTGTGATGTAGCTCCATTTGAGGGGCCAGGATTGACCTGCTGGTTAACAGTTTGTGACTTCTAGAAGCCTGGTGTGGATTCTTTCCAGGAGTCTTACATGACTCCTTCTCCCAACTTCTGCCACTCATCCTCCTGACTGGGGACACCTCAATGCTCTGTCATAGTGCTGAGTGAAAATACTGACTAGTAGGTCTAAAGAAGTAAGCCCTGGGGTCAAGGACAGACAATTATGGGGTACATGGTCATACTAAGTCATTAAGTGGCCCAGACTGGGATCCTTCCACCTCGGCCCCACAGTAGTGTGGTTACAGGAATGGATCACCATGCCCAGCTAACACTTGTAGACATTTTAAGTAGACATAATACCATCTGCTTAGCATTTTATCTGTTTATCAAGTGCTTATATGCACATCCTCTGACAATAGCTCTGACAGGTAATGTAGAATTTCTTTCCCAGATGTATTATAAATGGGAAATACTGTTTAGGAGGGTCTGATAGCCAGCATCTAGTCACTCCCTGATGAATGGGCAAATATTGGGCTCTTATAAAGATGCATGGCTGAGAAACAACTAGGCCCAGTAGCTCCTGCAAGGGTTTGGCCCTGACACCTTCTGTATGGTCAGGGACACTACCTTCAACTCCTACAGAGATGACTCCTAATAGTACAGACATCTCTTAGTTGGATAGCAACATTAATAGGTGCTGGCATACAGTGAGGTATATCTGGGCTGGGGACCTAGGCTGAAGCTTTGGAAGACCTGGCTGTGATATGTTTTCACACCTATAGCATCTGACCCCATTAAGCTGTTCAGCTTCTCTGAGCCTCAGTTGCCTATATCTGTGAAATGGCATCATGATCCTAGCTGCAGGGTTACTATAGTTGATAAGGGCCAGCACACAGCTGAAAGTATCTGACAAATTGGGAGGCGCTCTGATGCTCCTGGTTGTCCTAGTTACTAGGAAGCATGAGCTTTGGGGCTGGTTGTATAGCTTCAGTGAAGCGCCCTGACCTCTCTGAGCTTTGGTTCCTTCATTATAGGTTGCAATTGTAACAAACACCAACATTAATGTTGTTATGAGGCTAAAAGACAGTGTCTAAAGAACTTACAGGTTTATTCTCTTTCCTTATTGGGTGCTCACTGCCCCTCACCTTAAGAGGGGATCCCAAGAAACCAGCAGACGGACACAGTGGTTGGCCTTGGCAGTAAAACCATGGTTCTAGGGTCAGAGCCAGGCTTAGAGTCTGATGTTCTCACTTCCTCTCTGTGACCTAGGTTTGCTCAGCTCTATGATGGGGCTGCTGTGAGGACAAAAAGGCCTGATACATAAAACATGCAGGTCCACACTTAGTGTGTGGTTGAGTGTTCAATGCACATAGCTTCTGCCATGGTCACTGCTGGTTTGGTCTGGACCTCTCTGGGTAATGTTTAGATTACATACCTGTTCACAAAAATTTTCATTGTGCTCTACCAGACTGAGAGGATGGGCAGTTAGAAGCAGAACATTCTGTCCTGATGTCTAAACACATCTTTGTTGTGCTTTGGTCACCATAAGCCTCAGGCATTTAAAAAAAAAAAAAAAAGAAGATTTTCTTTTTCCTCCTGGAAGACAGAGCTTCTGCTGTGCCTGGGCTAATGACAGGCTGGCAGCTAAGTGTCAGGCATAATTTCTGTCTTTTGGGGAGGCGACAACCTTGGCAGGGTGTCACCTTCGATTAGGTGGACACACACAGAGGCCAGGGTCTTACCCAGCCAGACCAGCTGCGTGAGGTTCTCCAGGCCCTCGATCCTCTCAATGATGTTGTTGTCCAGCTGCAGCTTCTGCAGGCTCTCAAACTGCCAGAGGTTGTCTATGCGGAGAATGTCTGCAACAGCCCAGGGGTCAGGCTCAGGTCAGGGGAGCAAGATGGGCTTGTGTTATCTTTTTTTTAATTTTATTTATTTATGTGTGTGTGTGTGTGTGTGTGTGTGTGTGTGTGTGTGTGTGTGTGTGTGTGTGTGTGTGTGTGTGTGTGGCCAGCTCAGCCCACCAGGGGGCGGGGCTGCCTGGCATGTGGTGCTGGGGGATTGAACCGCGGTCCCTCTGCTTTGCTAAGCTTGTAAGTACGTGCTTTAGACCACTGAGCCATCTCACCAGCCCGATGGGCTTGTGTTAGAGAGAGAAAGACCCCACCTGTCCCTTACCCGGTCCTGGAGAATCTGAGTGGGATAAGCAGGTGGATAAGCATGTGGGTGGGGTAAGCACTGACCATCACTGTGTCCCTGTTGCTGGACAGTACCAGTGGGGATCAGTGCTGTCATGCAGAGCCACAGGAGGATCCAAAGGGTTCACTGGCAGGAAGGGTTGGGAGGGGGCGTAGTGGGTGAGGTGGACCTGTCTACAGCAGGAGACTCACTCACATTGCCTCTGGTGTCAGGCTGAATGCTTCCCCGCTCCCTGGAGGCTGGCCCACCTTGGGAAATAGGCCACGAGAAAGGACTGGCCTTTCACAGTGTAAGAAATAGAAGTGAAATATGCAGCTCTCTTGGTAGGAGAGTTAATCAACTAGTTCAATCTTTTGGAAGGTCATTCGGCCACATTTACCGAAATATTGAATGTCTGGGTGCTTTGATCTGTAGTTTTCTTGGAATGTCTCCAAAGACACAGCTAGAAATATCTAGCAGCACATGAAGGGCAGAAAAATGGCTTATCCTCAGCTGTCCACATATAAGGGATGGGATAAACTGGTACACAACAGAGTAGCAGGTTCTGACCATCACAGAAATGATAGGATCCCAACCCCTAAGGCTCATCTATCCCAGATGCACAGCCACCCAAGTCCTTTGCTCATAAGCCAGCCAAGGTTCAGCTTCTTTCATTCACAACAAGGAGAGCACTGAGTAACACACAAGCACAAGTAAATTGACACTGTTTGCATAAAATTCTTTTTTTTTCCTTTTGGCAGAAATGGAGATTGAACTCAGGCCCTTGTGCTTGCCAGGTAAGTGCTTATTCTACTGAGCCATCTACCCAGCCCTGTTTGCATAAAATTCTAATGGCTAACCCTGTGCCCCAGGCTTTTCCAGAAACCACATACTGTTCTATTGTTTATATTCCCACTTTTATGTATTTCTTTTTATAGTGATTTCCAAAACTTAGAAAATTAGAATGCTTAAAGAAGTGGAATAATATAGACGCGAAGGAATTTTTTAAAAGTATCATTAAGAGGGCTGAGGGTGTAGCTCAGTGACAGAAAATTTGCCTAGTAATATGAGAAGCCCTGGTTCCATACTCAGTGCCACCAAAAGACCAAAACGAAACAAAAAACAAGGATCACCAACAAGCACACATTTGGGTTTGTAGTTTCAAGAGTCATTCAGAAAGGCATGTCCCAATTAGTAAGGTTGTGAAAATTTGGGTGAGGGAAAGGTACCATTTCCAATTCTTGGGGCTGGGGATTTGGCTCAATGGTAGAATGCTTGCCTAGCAAGCTGGAAGCCCTGGGTTCAGTCCTCAGTCCTCAAAAAAAAAAAACAACAACAAAAAAAAAAACCTCCTCTAAAAAAACAATTCAACCAAAAAAATACAGTAAAATTAAAAAAGACCAAAAACAAACAAGGCAACCATTCCAATTCTCCCTGTGCCTGAGTTCTCTAACCTAACCTGAGTTCTCTAACCTTGAGATCCTGCTGCCCTTGGTCTGGAGCTGTACTGGTCCTCCCTTCCCCCACGGATCCCCAGGGCTGGGTGGCACTGAAACCTGTTTCCTAGCTCTATGACTGTGCCAGATTTCCCAGACTGATACTTTTCTCTACTCCCATCCCCACTTCTGAGCAAAGCCCAGGCTTGCTGCAGGCTCCCAGACACTTCCCATGCCTAGCTGGATTTTCTAGACACCTGTGGCCCTGATCACTGACTGACAGTACCTTGCCCCTGCTTTGCCCTTGGCTCTGGAAGCTCCCTGCAATCTTCTAACTCCTGCACACCTGGTGCTCTGCCCCACACACCGGCATGCCAGCTGTCTCCAAGGCACCAGCAGTTCACAGGGAAAAGTCAAACAGCACAACAAACCAGGAAGTATTTGGCAGTTAGCTCCAAATGAGTTACTGACATGGCCGCAGTGACACCAAATCTGTTTCTCACCAGCATCTTGGCCCAGCCAATTGTCATTCCCTGGGCCACAGCAGCAGCCATCTCACTAGGTCCCTGCTTTAGCCCTGGCCCTACAGCCAGTGGCATCCTGTAAGAACTCACTTCCCATCCTGAGCTGCTTCTGTTCAGGACCTTCCCAGGCTCCCACCTTACTCACTGTTTCCATAGGCCCCAAGGTAGACACCAGCTGACCACGATGAGCTCTCTGAGCTCCACAGTTGCCTCCACAGCAGGCCTCCTCAGGCTAGCTCTGGCCTGCCTCACTGGTCCTTTACACTGGCTATTAATTCTGCCTCACACTCTTTCCTCAGTGGATCTCCATGTGACATCCTCCTTCATCTCCTCCAAACCTTTGCTTGTCACCCTCTTGGTGGGGGCTCTGGCACCACTGAAAACACTACATCCCACTCTAGTTTCCTCTTTCCCCCTTCATTGCTTCATTTCTCCCCATAGCACATATTACCTTTAACATATAGTATATAGTCCTTCTTTATTTGCCTCTCCTACTTGAATGTCAGCTCCATGAAGACAAACACCTTTGTCTTTTGGGCTCACAGATGAATCCTAATGCCTAGAACAGGACCTGGACTATAATAGGCACTTATTCAGTATTGGCTAAGTGAACCTCAGGTGGAGGAACCAGAAGCAAAAGAAAAGCAGTCAAGGGCTGAAGTCCCATCCTGTGGCAGCTAGATCATCCTTTCTGCTTCTCAGGGCTGAGGTCTGTAGCTCAGGGTCCTCTCTGCTCTCAGAGATCACACTCTAGGGGACCTGTGGCCTGCATGAGGCTGGCCTAGGCTAGGCTCTTCTTGCCACCTGCTGTATCCTCAGGCACAGGGTCCAAGTGAGGCAGGTCTCGAGAACTCCTTTTTGGCTGGATGCCTAACTAACTGAGGACCCAAGACAGAGCAGGAATGTGAGTCCCGCTGTCACTCTGTACGGGCCTCACCTGCACAGTACACAGGGCTATCTGGAATCTTTCTCCCTCAATGACTTTTGGCCTCCCACCATAAGCCAGGTAATATACACATTGCCACGTTTCTCCCGAACAAATGGCTGAGGCAGAAACTACAGGTATCTCCTTTTATAGCTATATTTTCCCCCCAAAATAAGGCCTAACAGGAAAACTAGAGCTTAAAATGCCAGCTCCAGTCACCTTGCCTTACCTGTCATTACAAAGTAGCCACCAAGTGGGAGAATAGGAAGAAATACTCCTCTGCATGATGCTGCCTATCATCATGGTAATAATCAGCACTTATTTTCTGGTTAGCACTTATTTTGGGGGAAATAGGGTAGATGGGAATGCTGAGGTAGTAGAGTTTTGTCTGGCTCTGGCCACATCTTTCCACTGGGGTGTCTGTCATTCCTGCATGCCTGCTGCCTTGGGGCCCTGTGCCCCTTATGCTTCCAGTCCTTTTTGGTTATTCCTCCCTGCAAGCTGTTCCCAGAGTGCCAGCTTCCCCAACCCCTCTTTGAGCTTCAGTATTTGCTATGTGGGGCTTCCAATGTCCTAGACTTTCCAGGGACCCCTGCTCCATGGCAGTATCATGAGATTATGTGATGGAAATAGCATGGTCTTGTGAGAATTCATGTAGAATTGGAGAGGGATAGCTCTCTTTTCTCACTCACAATCAGAAGTGTTGTAGACAAATGCCAGTGACTCTAAGTGTAAAGCTTTAAAAACATCTAGATAGGGCTGGTGAGATGGCTCAGTGGTCTAAAGCACCTACTTAGAACAAGCTTAGCAAAGCACAGGGACCGCAGTTCAATCCCCCAGCACCACATGCCAACCAGCCCCACCCCCTGGTGGGCTGAGCTGGCCACACACACACACACACAAATAAATAAATTTAAAAAAAAATAATAAAAACATCTAGATACTCTTATGCCTCAGAGCCCAAGGTCTCTTATGCTGATGGAAGTCCCTGGACCAGAGTTTGTGCAGAATTCTGGGGCTTGAAGGGGTTGCAGAGAAAGTCAGGGAGTCTGGCTGGTGCTTCCATCCCACCCCAGGCCACCGTCAGCACCCAGGATACATACTCTGGAAGTCCAGCTGCAGAGACAGGACATCTTTGAAGAGGATGCCTTCCTGCTTGGCCAGCTGCCCGGCCTCCTCCTGTGGACCCTGCTCCCCCACTGCCAGCTTGAGCATGTCGTCATCTATCACTCTTGGCTCCACCGAGTCATAGATCCGGTTCATCTTCCCTAGAAAATCACATTCTTCTCTTATAGCCACCCTGTTCTTGGTTTCAGGACAAAGTATGGCTGAAATTACTTCTTAAATGTCATGGACCACTGTGGTGGTCATGGACACCTGAGCAGTGTTCACTCCTCACCTCAGCCTGCTTGGGGTTCATACATTTGCATCAAAGCTAGACTAAGGCTTCCCAGCAACCACTGGGGAGCCATTCCATAGAAGTTCATTGCTTAACCCTACAACTGCAGCAGGTGTCCCACCTTGACCCACATTTACTGGTACATGCTGGGCCTCCTGTGGGTCTCAGCACTCCTGAAATTTGTGGCCTCGTGTCATGCCTCTGTGTTCCCATCTTTATGTATATCATGAAGGTCACCAGTAACTGACCATGCCCTTGGCAGCCCCAGCCAGGTGCACCAGCTTGAAGCCCCCTTCTGAGAGCACCTTAGCCCTATCGGCAGTCATATGTGTGCTGCATCCCCACCACCACAAGTGGCCCCCCAATGTGCAGATGGGCACTGACCCAAGCTGGCCATTCATGGTGTCTAAGCCATAGGAACTTGGGTCCATGAAATGAGAATGCCCATCATAACTGGGGGCTTGGCTGGCAAGCAAACAAAGCCATGAGCTAGCCAGGCATGTGGTTAAGCAAAGAGAGCAAGAAGGAGATGAAGGAGACATGCAGAGAGAAGTAGATCCAGAAGAGAAAGACAAAGATAGGCAGGCAGGCAGGCAGAGACCAAGGATGTCTTCTTTTTGCTGGCCTTTTAGTCCCTAAGATCCCTAACTCTAGGGCTCACCCAAGTTTCTGTGTCCCCTTCTGCAAGTGCTTTTTGATTTCTCATATTAGTTCCTCTTTAATTTAAGCTAATTCTGGTAGGTTTCCATTGCTAAGAGTCCAGAGGGATTCAGGACTGGAGACTAAGTGAGTAATCTGTGGATTCCATCAGTCACACTGTGAGACTGACCCTGGACTGTTATTCCTGACCGGACAGGGTCACAGCCCTGGGAAGCTGGGCATTCCAGCCTCATCTGTCATCACAACTCTATGGATGAGAACATTCAGATAGTTAGATGCTACAGGATGCCATATTCTCAGTCTACTGAGACTTTGCCTCTTTGAGGCCTCTGGAGGTTCAGTCTTCTGTTCTGATTCTACCTGCTTCTTACCTTCCTTGGGCCTCACCTCCCACCTTTGGTCACATGTGTACCCAATATTCAGGGCTCTCTGAATCTTCTGTCCTTTCTACCCTGATGCCAGGCAGATCCTGCCCTTTACCTTTCATACCACTGAGCATTTCCAGAGACTCCTGATGTTGAGCTGACGACACCCACCATAAATGGATGTTGGCCTGGACAGTCTTGCACTTGGCCTTAAAGACTTCCTCTAAGACCATCTTTCTTCCCCAATGCCCAGTTGGATGCAGATTCTACAAATATACATGCTCCATTCCTCAGCTGTCCCTGAACAAATGTCTCAATGCTTTTAACTTTTGGGCATCCTTCTTTTCTGCCCCAAGATGACTATGTCTACCTGTCTCCTCTGTTTCCTCTCCATATGGGCCTTCCATCTTTCAAGACCTGAGACTTTTCTTCCACTCTCTCCATACTAGCTCTATTTTCTTCAGGTGACAGATTCAATTCCCAAAGACAACTTCAGTCCTGACCAACTTCCTACTCTTCTAAAATGATTTTCCCCAAGGTTTCCTATAATTTGCTACCAACTTATCTCTGGGGGAATTTTAATGTTTTATTTGGCAGACATTATCTGCAAAGCATTTTGGGGTTTTACTTTTTTAAAAAAAGGTATTCTACTTTCAGCAATTACTCTGATTTCAAAACTTTGACTTCTCATCCTTCCTACTTCATGCAGCCTTGGTACCTGTGACAGATCAAGTTTTGTGTTCAGTCAAGCCAGGAAAATACCATGCAACTATGGGACTGTTGTCACACACCCCTGTTAAGTATATCAGAGCAGGATTCTGATTCTGACTGTGTCTGACAACTCATTTCACCTGTCTAAACCTTTGCTTTCCCATCTGTAAAATGTTGATGTATTATATTCTTGTAAGATCACATAGTTACTTCACACATGTGTACTGTATACTATGTGCAATGAATAACAGGTAAGTAGCCTTATTTCTGTTCCAGACATGAATCAAACAATCATAAAAATATTTAGTTACAAACCAGGACAAGTTTGTAGGTAAAGAGAACTGTGAAAGCAATATGTTAAAGTGCCTGGCCTGGCCAGAGAAGACAGAACTGAGACCTAAGGCATAAAAAGGAAAGAATGGAAAGGAAACTGCAAGTTGAGGACCCTGACATGGAAGGGCATGGTCCACTTTGGCCTAAGTGATGTAAACTTGGAGATATAGGGATTTTATTATCCTACGATCACTGGGATCCTGTAGGGCTTTAAAAAAAAAAGGCAGTGACATGATCAGATTTCAAATGTTCAAGACCTCATTTTAACTGTAGTACTGATAACTGCAGAAGGGTGAGGCAGGCCAGAGATGACAAAAGGTAGAGATAAGATATAGATTTGAGACACCTCTAGGAACTTAATTTATATGTAGGACTAATCATCCCAGTTTTCAGAGAACAAAACAGAAACTAGTTAGAAAGGTTAATACACTCAAGTTTACACACCTCGTATATGACAGAACTTTTCCTAATCATAGCTCCACCCAGAATACTAGGAGCAAGCATTGTCACAGCTCAAAAGATTGCTCACACAATTCTGGGTCAGGGACAAGGCCAAAACAGTCTTGTTCCATGGAAACTTTATTAGAAATTTATTGCCCCAACTGGATCACTATTGACTTGCCTGATGACAGCATTGTTGGTGAAGAATAGAGGCCAGGGGTAGGTCAGCAGCAGAGAGTTTTAAACACCTATCAGTCAAGCAGCCTCCTCACCAAGAACAGATCTGTATCTCCCTGGGAAACAACCACCTGGTTAATTGGATCTGAAATATAAAGACCTTACTGGCCATAAATTAAAGAGAAAAAAAAATAAACCACTTACTGTATGTGTATTGTGCCCTGGGTGCACATGAACTACTTAATTACATATTAGTCCTGGAAGCTAATGGTTTGGATCTAAAATGTCCCCAAAAGTCTTACATATATGTAAGGTGATTGGATCACGAGTGAGACTGGATCATCATTAGCTGAGTCTGCTGTTAGGATTTGAGGTCTGGTTAGAGAAGGTAGGTCACTTGGGGCTTGACCTGGAAGATTTTTTTTTTTTTCTTGTCCCTAGCTGCTCTCTTCTCTGCCTTCCAACCACTAGGAAGTGAACAGCTTTCTTCCTTCTTGGCCTTTGAAATGGCGTTTTGGTCTTTATCCTCTGAAACTGTAAGCCAAAGTGAACCTCTCTTCTTTAAATTGGGAGTGTGGAATATTTTATTTACAAAACAGGAAAGTAACAAATACAAAGCCATTAAAGAAAGGGTTTCTATTGCCCTTATTTTCCAAATGGGGAAACTGAGACCTCAGGAGACGAGAAACTTGTCCAAACTCATACAGTGACAGAGACAGACACGGAATCTGAGTATTCATATTCCCATCCAAATCACTTTTTACAACACCAAATGACGTAAGGAGAGTTAAGAGATTAAATATGAGAGCTAAATTCTGGAAAGCGTTTTCAGCGGACAGGGGCTCCTATTCTTCTACAAAACGGTTTAGGCAGGAGGCTGTGGGGACAGAACTCTGTAGGAATCTTTTCTGGCCCTCACTTCTAAAGACATGCTCTTTTCGGGCTTTCTCCTACTACAAAGACCGGAAAAGTCCAAGACTGAAGTGTCTCGGCTCTCTAATTACGACAGTAAAGTAGCTGGCAGAGGACAGTTGTGCTCATTTTACATAGAAGGGCCGGGCCGGGGTCCTCAGAGAAAAAGGTCACAGGAAAGAGTTGCTCTCTGCCACTGCAAATCCTCCTGGAGCCTCAACTCCCATATCTCACCTTCTCCAACACTGGAAATGGGGTTGATTCTCGGCAAGCAAACACGTCTCTTTGTTGCTGGGGAACCAAGTGCCGCCACTCGGCTGGTTGCTAAGGGGAAGTCTGGAGATAGATATCCTGGGTGAAAGTTGGCAGATCACATGACCATATCTCAGGGTGGGGAAATACTCCAAACACCAACCAGCCAAAGAGAAAACAAACGTTTCTCCAATCAACACTTTGTACGGGTAGGCAACTTCCTAGATACGCCTTCTTTCTGCTTCTCGTTTGAGCCTTTGACTCATCTTTTGTCCAATAATAATAAAGTATCTCCAGATTGACCATCATTCAGACGAATCAAAATGCACAGCCTCCCTTCTGAGGCGGGCCAGGGGAGGTGCCGCTACGCCTGCCGGGGACTCCAGTGACCTAGCTCGCTCCTAGGTCCAATCGGATGTCGCGAGGTGGGTGGGGCTTCGATAACAGTGGTGTAATGCCCAATCGGAGAAGAGCTTTGTAGTTGTTGCCCAATAGAGACGCAACTAGGGGGCGGGACCAGAGGCCCGGCGCTCGGTGTTCTTGAGGGTGGGGCGCTGGGCAAGTGTCAGTCAGGTCGGGAACCGAGGGGTACAGCAGAGACCACGGCGCAGACAGGCATCCCGGCCGCGGCGGTGAGGTCTGCCCAAGATGGAGTTCCTCCTGGGGAACCCGTTTAGCACGCCTGTGGGGCAGTGTCTCGGTAAGGCCGCTCGTGGGGCTGACGGACGGGTGGGAAACGGGGGCAGGTGACCGAGCTGGTGAGGACAGCGGTCCTCTGCCCCACGCCGGTGCCACCTCACAGACGGACTGAGCACCCTTGTAGTCGAGCCCTGTTGACCCAGAGGCCACCTTATGGGCGAGTTGGGAGCTAGTGCCAGCACACAGGTGGAGCCGGAGTCCTTGTGGGGCCTCTGTGCCATCTCATGGGTGTTGGTGCCAGACCTGTGGGGCGCCCCTGAGGCCCAACTTGGACCTGGAGACGCTCCCAGCCACCCTATCCATCAGGGCCTACTGTTTCCTGTCTCTCCTAGAGGTGGAGCCAACTGCTGGCCTGCTTACCTCTGGCCTATTGGGAGATGCCACTGCGTGCATCCTTATCCAGCCCACAAGTCTTCTGGCGATGCCACCCAGACCTAGTTCTTCCAGACACTTTTTGGGATGTCACATCCTTCCATAGTTCTCTTTCCTCTTTGGTGCTAGCAGCCTTCGGACTGGGCGTCCTACCAGAAAATGCCCCCTGCTTTGAGACTTGTTAATTTGAGTTGAAACTCAGCTAGGCTGTAGGAGGGACTGGGATGGGGGTGGGGTTTTGGAAGGGTGATCATCTTGGAGGTGGGGTAGCAGTTCTGTAGTGCTTCCTTGGACAGAAGAGAGGCTGAACAATGATAAGCACACCTACTGGGATTCAGGAAATCTGGACACCAGTAGTTTACCAGTGACTCTCCCCTAGGACTTTGTGCCCCTTCTAGTTCGAAGTTCTGTTTGTTACAAGAGGTATTTGAAGGTGAGATGTATTAGGCCCCTTCAACTTTCATAGTTTTAATATACTTTGTGGTAGTTTCTCTTTGCACATTAACTGTTGTTACTCCTGCTATATTAAATTTGCTGAAGCGTAACTCCTTTACTGGCAGTATCCAGAATGTAGAAACCCCTATAGGACCTGTCAGTCCTACAGAAGGACTCTGGGTACCCAGAAAAGGGCACCAGAGTTGAGTGGCATCTTGGTAAGAAAAGTTCAAAGCATAGGTGAAGGAATACCAAAGTTCCCTCTGTGTGGAGTTTCCTTATTAAAAAAAGCAACTCACAGGCTGGGAATATAATTCAGAGTGGTAGAGTGCCCGCTTACCAGCTTCTGGGTTCTATCCCCAGTCCTGTCAATAATGATAGTGGTGATGCTGCTGCTTAGCCTTTACCAGTCTCTGAGTTCAATCCCCAGCACTACAAATGATGATGAAGATAATGATGGTAATGCAACTTGCAAATAATGATAAAGGCAACTTGCCTTTTCACAATATTCAGGACTTTATGTCAAATGATCAGTCAAGAATGTTGATTAGGGGCCAGAGATATAGCCTATTGGCTTAAGCACTAGCCTGGCAAGTGTAAAGTCCTGAGTTTGATCCCCAGTACCTGTTGGGGGGTCTGTTGGTTGGTTTCTTTTAATATTGGACTCTTCCTGGTTGATTGAAGGATTTGTCTTTTATGAAGAGGGGCCATTAGTGTCCTCATGAGCCTAGTGGTTTAGGCAGTAGTGACTTACTTACTTTCTTTCTTTCTTTCTTTGTCTTTTTCAGACAGAGTTTTGCTATGCAGTTAGGCTGGCTTTGAACTTAATTTGTAGCCCAGGCTGGCCTTGAACTTACTGCTATCCTGCCTCCACCTCCCAAGTACTGGGATTCAGGCATTAATGATTTATTTTCCTCTTGCTTGTAAATTTCCATATTAATTTTCAGCCTTTAGTGGGAGCTGTAAAGTGGTTGAGGCCTCTAACTGGAATTGTTGGCTAACTGGAATTTGAGAAATCTCTTTCCTTCCTGATATAGTGGTTTTTTTAAAAAGGGATCATGAACACTGGACCCTGAATGAGTCTTTTCCCACCTTTACAACATCTAGTCTCCTGTTGTCCCCTCAAGTATTTCTCTGAAAGAGACTGTCCCCTTCTTTCTCATTTCTCTTAATACTTTCCTCAAGTGCTTTCATTGCAACCTTATTACCAAAGCATATGTCTCAGTTGGATGTTGAAAAACAGCCAACTAATAGACCCAATAGAATTGGGGGGGGGCGTTTTTGGAGCCGGGGAATGAGTGCTTCCCTGGCAAGCACAAGGGCCTGAGTTCAATCCCCAGTTCCACAGGAAAAAAAAATTGGGGGGGATTTTAAAAAACTTATTTCCCCCTCATTATAGGAAGCTCTACACCCAAAGTGGACAGGAAGAGTAGCCTGTAGACGAAGGATAGAAGTTAAGGAAGATTTTTTGTTTTTACAATGTTAGAGATTGAACCTGAAACTATGTGCATGCTAGGTAAGCACTCTGTCACCGAGCTGCATTCCTAGACTAAGGGGAATTTCAAAATATATGAGATGTAGGGATAATGTAGCAATTGGGAAGAATATGACACTTTTGTTAGACCAGAGTTAAATTTTGACTGCCCATTTCTTGGCTGTGTGAGCCCAGATCCCAGAAATTGTATAGCACTTTTAAGCCATAGTTTATCTAGAAGGAGGGAGAAATGAAGGGAGGGAAGGAAAAGAGAAATTGGCTTTCATATTCATGGATAGCGTCACTCAAGTAAGACAGTGTCTAGAACATTTTGCCATTTAACATTGTATCTAGATGATAGTAGATCAGTAAATTGTAGTTGTCTCTTTTACAACAGAATAATCAATTTAGAGTTGAATTTTCTGTCAGGGTATGATATAGTTGGTCAGTTTGTGACCTCTGAAAGAAAATAACCTTCCAGTGTTCACCATCACCTATAAAAGAAATCTAACCATAGAGCTGATGGATTCCTGTTGCCATTAGGGGATAGACAAGGCTTCAGTTATATAGTTTGGGTAAGGTAAATGGTTACTGGGAAGAATGAGTTTCTAATGTATATTCTATACTGTTGTGACCAGGTATAAAAGTGATTTTTGTAATATTTAATATTATTAGCATTTTTTAAGTATATACAGGGAAGCTGAGTGTGGTGGTGCACACCTGTAATCCTGGTACTTGAAGCTGAAGCAGAAGGATTGTGGCCATCCTAGGCTACATAGTGAGTTCAAAGCCTGAAATACAGCCTGAACTATATAGCGAAAACTTGTCTCAAAAAAATAACATGGCTGGGTAGGGTGGCACATGCCTGTAATCCAAGCACTCAGGAGGCTAAGGTAGGATAATCACTGTGAGTTCAAGCCAGCTTGAACTGCGCAGCAAAACCTGTCTCAGAAAGAAAAAACAACAACAGCAAAAAGTATATGCTAGGAAATGGATAGGATGGAGGGGAATACAGAAATAAAGTAACAGCAAAGCTAGTGATTAGATCTGGACATGGTGGCACGTGCCTATAATCTCAGAATTTGGGAGGAAGCAGGAGGATTGCTGCAAGTTCAAGGCCAGACTGGTCTACATAGTGAGTTCAA